CTTATGTGATTTTAGGGCAGGCCACTTGGGTATTTCTAATCCTTACACTGGCCTAGTAAGTAGGTATGTATATTCCCAGTTTGCAGAAGAGAAAACTGAGGTTCAAACAGATGATGTTACCCAGCCAGAAAATGGCAGAGCTAGAATGCTAACCAAGGCCTGTATGTTCTTATCTCTGTGCTGCTGCTCCTTAGCTTGTCTGTCACATTTCCTCAGTGACAGCTGGACACGCCAATCTGTCTCGGTCAAAATTTATCTCTTAGTGGGTTGCAGACTAGACAGGGCCCTGCAGTCATGGTTAATCACAATGAGCTGCTGCAGGATTAACCAGAGACAGCCTTCATCAGTCACAGTCATGCTTATCAATCTCAGCCTGTCCTGTCAAGTTTCATTTCCTGCATGAAGAAGCTCAGCTCCCTCTTCACCCATCCCCAACTCCCAGTCTTTGACACTGAGCTCTGTGGTCTGGTCTCAAAGTCCCCGGTGGGCTCACCATCTTCTCAGAGACTCCAGGGCACTGAACACTGGGTGTAGAAGCTGTAGATGGTGACTTAGGAGGCCCACCTTTTGGGTTACATGTCCATTTAGATCAGAATGGCTCAACCTCAGCACTATTGACATTTGGGGCCAGATAAGTCTTTGTTGCAGGTGGCTGTCCTCTGCATTGTAGAATGTTTAGCAGCAGCCCTGGCCTCTACCCACTAGGCATTAGTAGCACCCCTCAGTTGTGACGTCCATTGCTAAATGTCCCTGGGGTGGCGGAGAGTTGGGGGGAAAGGAGGAGGGATCACTCCCCCACTCTCAACCCAGTTGAAAAATAATGATCTGGGTGAATTTACCTTTGATTATCCCCTGAAAGTAGAGAGGATGGCCCTTTATGGGAGGCAGAAATATAGATCAGGGTGTACGGGGCCTGAAAAATCATATGGAGACCCATTGTTTGTAAACAAAGTCCTATTCCAGAGCCCTAGGGATAACAGATTGCTAAAGGAGACCGACAGAGACAATTCAGGGAAGGATTCATGATGTTCCTTGCAGCAATTGCCTCTGACTAGAGACAGAAATCTGGAGAAGGCTGAAGAATCACTTTTCACTGCATAGTCTGTCATTTAATTAATTACCTTTCCAAAGAAAAGAAGTATTTAGTATTTGAAAGTATAAGGAAATGCTCAAGATAGATATATATATATTTTAAAGTATTTGCAATGGTAGGTACAAGATGACTTCAACTCTGGAAAAATACATACACGTGGAAAAGACTCGCTGGGGAGATTCGCAGCAATGAAGCAAAGTGGCCTGAGATGAGTTGCTTGGTGCAATAAAAGGAAAGTGTGGTGTGTGCACTTTAGGTGGTCTAAGGGATGAGTTTAGGTTTTACATGCATGATGGCTTTTAATTTTAGCATTTTTGCATTTATTTTATGAAGACCTCCTTTCTTGGCAAATGACATAAGCTTTTTGTTTGTGGAAGCAACATAGTTTCCTTTTTAAATACAGTTGCTTTTAAAGTGAGTCAATCTAGTTATTTTATTTTATTATTTTTTTGAGGCAGAGTCTCTCTCTGTCACCCAGGCTGGAGTGCAGTGACACCATGTTGGCACACTGCAACCTCTGTCTCCTGGGTTCAAGTGATTCTCTCACCTCAGCTGAACCTCCCGAGTAGCTGAGACTACAGGTGCGCACTACCACGCCTGGCTTTGTTTGTTTGTTTGTTTTTTGTATTTTTAGTAGAGACGGGGTTTCACTATGTTGGTCAGGCTGATCTTGAACTCCTAACCTCAAGTGATCTGCTTGCCTCGGCCTCCCAAAGTGCTGGCATTACAGGCATGAGCCATAGCATTTGGCCCAAGTCAATTTAAATAAAAATAAGTGAATAATGGGACAGGTGGTATGAGGATATGGGAACATATATAGAGGTTTTGGGAAAAGGCTGAAGTTGAGGATTGTTGTATTTTCTTTTCCACTAGGCTCTAATGTAGAAGGGTTACAGGAAGTGAGACCCCAACGTAGGTACTCTTGTTTCAGGAAGAGGAGGGACCATGCTGTTTCTCCGCTCAGCAACCCCCCACACGTCCTGGGGCCCGAATGCTTGCTGTCCCCCTCTCCCAGAATGTGCACCTGAGTTCCTCATCTTTGTTGATCGATCCCTCTCTTCATTCAGCTCACAGATCGCCTCCTCAGGGAGGCCTTACCTGGCCACCGTATTTAAAGTGGTCCCCTTCAGTGACCTTCCTTCTCTTTTCCCTGTGTATTTCCTTCCTAGTGCTGATTACTGTAACTGACAGCTTGTGTTGGCATCTGTTTCCTCCACTAGCCTGTGAGTTCCTGGAGGGCAGGGACTTTCGTCTTGTTTGTGCTGTGCCTGGAGAGTCACCAAGGCCTGGACCACCCTGAGCCCCAATTATTTGTTGAATAAACATGTTCTAAGTTGGGATGTCTCCACTTCAGTTTTAGCCCTTCCCACCATGCCAACTTGTACCAGTAGCCAAGGTCAGAGAGAGAGAGAGAGACAGAGAGAGAGAGAGAGAGAGACAGGGACAGGAGAGAGGAGACGGCATCAAACACATTTATTTCACTTTTATTGAGTATACAAGAACAGAGAGCACACGCATACAGCACGGAGCACTGAGGTGGGGGAGCATGGGGACGAGAGAGGAGAGAAGGGTGTGAGTAAAAAGGAACAGGACAGCATCGCAATTGGTTGTTAAGGTGCTTTTGAAAAAAGAAAAAAAAAGTATTTCGAGTGATGTTGCTCATGCAATTTCAGGCCAGTCTTGGAATGTGCTTGTAGGATTCAAAAACTGAAACAGGTCCTGGCACTTCCTATACCCTCGGATGGAAAAGTTCCAGAGAAAACAAAATAAAAGAAAATGAAGACCCGTGAGATGGCAGAGTAGAAAAAAGACCATGGAGAGCATCTGGTTCTCTCTGCTTATTTTGCAAGTTGGGAAACTGAGGCCCAAGAGGGGGAATGGGGATAGCCTGATGTCACATGGTGAGTTAGGAGCTGAGCCAGGATGGTCACGGAGAACTCCCGACCGCCCTCCAGGACTTTTTCCACTATGCTACATGGTCTCCTGGGTGGAGAGGCGGCACAGAGGATGAGAAACAAAAAAGAGAAAAGTAGGTTGAAGACAGACAAGACAAACATTACAAAGAGGAGGATGGGGAGGAAACAGTGCCCTAGATTCTAGCTTTGCAGGTCCCCTCCTCCCTAGTGGCACTGCCTGTGTCTCCATAGAAGGAAGGTCAGAGCATCCATGGGATGGCGATCTCCCAAAACCCAGGTGGCCCACAAGCTCCAGAAGCTAAGCCTGGTCACCTCATCCCTGCCCTGAAGCCAGGTGCACAATCCAGAACAAGGATCCTCCCTCGGATGTGTGTCCAGTGTGTTCAGGACTCCTGGTTCCTGCAAAGATGAGTTCCTGGACCAAAGTTGGCCCAAAGAGGATGGAGCCACCACTCCAGCTCTTGACCCAGAAAGAGAGAGAGTTCTCAAGTTAAGAAGGGCAGGAAGAAGGTTCTGTGGCTTTCCCGCCAGGATTGCAGAAAGAACCCGGTGTATGGAAAGTGTGCTGCTGCACTCAGCGGGGTTGGAGCGGGCTCACCAGCCCATATCACGGGGAATGCAGCTGATTCTGCTGCCCCACTGAACTTCCCACTTGCCCAGAGAAGCAAATGCTGTTCTGATTTCCTGCCCTGCCTCAGGCCAGCACCAGCTAAGCAGCTAAGGTGCATGTCATCACTGACAAGCCAGCCAAGGGGGCACATCTGGGCCACCTGGGAGTATCCCTGGGCAATGCCCAATAGGTTGGCGAGAGTGGGGAGATGCTCTCAGATGGGCCAGCCATGGTTGAAATATAAAACTGGCTCGGGTGGCTTCTCAGGCTCCGCCCTCCCCTCCTACCTTCTCCTTCAGCCTGAGAATAGTCCCTGGCACAAGCAGGTAATCAGTAAATACTTGTGGAATAACTTTATTAACTGCTTGAGAAGGAGGCCTGGAAGGTAAATGGAACTGAGAAATTAGCAGTGCAGTGGGACATTTTCCCTCAGCAAGGACCACTTGCTGAGCTCAGAGAAGTAGCTTGTGACAGGCAGGCTTGAGGAAGCCCACATGTGGCAGAGGCCAATGCTAAGCTTGCGACGGGAGCTTCTTGGAGGGCTCCTGTGGTCTTGGGGCAATTTCTGGGCACAAGCCCAGAGCTCAGACGTTGACTGAGAGGGAAGTCTCTAAAGCCAGAGCTGGAGCCTTTGAGCAGCACCTCCTGTCTCGCTCAGCTTTGTCCCGGGACAGGGGAGCCCTTTGCAAATACAGTTTTGGATCTCAGGGTTTGCCCCATGCAGCCTCCTTACCATGGCTACTTTGACCCCAGAAGAAGAAATGATTCAGAACAAATGATTCAGAGGGGGTAGAGGAAAAGACTGAGCTGAGAATTTTTAGACAGGTTCAAGCCACCATCTTCTACTATGGCTGGACCTCCCTTTGGATATATATGGAGTTGGTTATTACAATGGGGTCAGGGAAGGGCAGGATGTGGAAAAAAAAAGAGAGAGAGAGACAGAGAGAGAGAGAGAGAGAGAGAAAGAGAAGACTGAAAACCAAGGCAAGCCCCATAGGGAGGTAGGAGAACTAAGCCAGGAACCTCTACTGTGGGAACTTCAGCAGCAGACTGGGGATCCCATGCCTGAGCACAGACCAGGCCCTGACTGCTACTACCTGGGGGGCAGGGAGAAGGCATCTTGGACTGGCATTTTGGGGACATCTGTGTTGCGTCTTTCTTGCCAAACCTCCACCTCTCCATTATGGGGCCCCACCCCTCCCCACCAATCAACCAATTACAAACACCACACACAGTATTACTACACTGAACCCATCAGCCCCTACTGTGAGCCAAGCCACATCCAGAGTCCAGGTCTCCTTAGCTGGGCCAGTTCAGTGAGATCTAGGAACCTCAGGATACATCAATCACAGTCAGATAATTATTATGTTAGAATGTCAGCTTCATACTTACCAGCACTGTTTATTTTAATATTTGTTTCCTGTTATATGTAATATACATAACTTAAAAGCACATCCATACAAATCTCCTACAAGCTGCACCTTCATCATGAGAAACCATAAACACACAATGTCTACTTCCCTTCCTGTGGCTTTGTTTTCTGTACTTGCTTTCTTTCCTTTTTCTCATTTCAAAGGACAGTCATCTGCAGTGGCCCTCAACAGGACCAGGACAGAGAGGGTGAGGCATGTGGGGTGGGGGAAAGGGGAGGAAGAAGCTGAGACAGAAAATGACAGCAAGACATTGAGAGTTGAGGGTGAGGGGAGGCGGGAGAGAGGAAGGTGGATTTTGCAGCCCAGTGTCAAGATCCAGAAAGTAAGAATCCAGTGTTCCTCCTTTTTCTTTCCAAGTGGGGAATTTTCTTTCTTTCTTTCTTTCTTTCTTGGAAAATGGTTGGCTGTGCGTGTCTTGCTGCTGCGACTTCTCTTGCTTTGCTGCGCGAGTGTTTTCCTTTGCATTTGAGTGGGCAACAGAGATGCTGAAGAAGAACAAATGGAATCGCTCGTCTGCTAACTGCGACGTGCAGAACCAGGGTGGGAGGGACTTCTACAATCATCGTGGTCTGGCTTGCTTTTGTTATTTGGCAGGGGGAAAGGGGTGAGCAAGGGATTATGGTTATTATAATTTTTTTTTCCTGAAAAAAAAAAAAATCCCACCAGTTCTTCAATTTGTCTGCAAAGGAAATGTAGGTGTTCAGATGTTGCTTGTTGCTGTCGGCCAACTGCTCTGCCAGCCCCAGCAGCGGTGCAAGGACGCGGTGTTTCCTGTATATATATCTATATCTCTATATATCTATATATATATGCTTTTCCCTTCCCAGTCTCTCGTCAGTGACAGTACGTCGCAGCTGGGACGTCGGTGTTGCGTCGGAGAATCAGAATGAAGGCCCCTTCTTAATGGTTCTCTGGCTTGGGTTGGACCAGAAATGCCAGAATCTCTTCACAGAGGTCAGGATTCCTGGAAGCCAGAGGTATGGGGTAGAAAGAGGGGTAAAGGAAGGAAGAGGACAAGGAACGTTAGTTACTTCTGTCACTCATTTTTAAATATATGGCAAGAGGTTGTTTTTGCCACCCTTTACTGTATGCCCTTTATTGTGACTCAGCAAGATGTGTGTCCAGAGCCCATGTGGGTTTGCTCGCTTGTTTCCAGGGAGGTGATGATCTTTTACTTTGCCCTGAAAAATGTGTTAAATGTCCTTTAACACTGAGAAGCCAAGATCATCATCATTTTACTTTTTCTTCCTATCTTTTGTCAGTTCTAAGAAATGTTTAGTCATGATTGCAGATGTTCGTTTTTCATTTGTTTTTCCTTTTTGTTGTCTGTGGGTCTGTGTTTTCTGGAGATTAAACCAAAGACAGCCGTGTTTAAATAAAGAAATGGAGCCTGGCTTCCAGGTTTGGCTCCAAAACTCAGTGTTTAAGGGAGCAGGCTCTGAAATCAGACTCCCTGAGTTCAAATCCCACTCTATCGGCCTGCCAGCTCTGCAATCTTGGGTGAGTTACTTAACTTCCTTTACTTAAAAAATTTTTTAAAGAGATGAGTCTTACTATGTTGCTCAGGCCGGAGTGCGGTGGCTATTCACCGGCATAATCAATGCACATCACCACTTTGAATTACTGGCCTCAAGTGATCCTTCTGCCTCAGCCTCCTAAGTAGCTGGGATTACAAGTGCACGCCACAGTGCCTGGCAAGTTTCTTAACTTCTTTAAGCCTCAATTGCTTCCTCTGTAAAATGGGTCCTGCCTCCTATTATAGGGAGGAATCAAAGCAAGGGCCATATAGTAAGTGTTGAATAAATACTGGCTGTTCTTATCATTACGATAGTTGCTGTTGTTAATTTGACCACACACTACTCTGATCTCCTTGGGGGCAAGGGCTGTATTTTGACTCTTGTCTTTTTAGTGTCCAACACTGTGCCTGGCACATAACAACTACTCAAAACCATTTAACACACAAAATATCGTTTCTGCTGCTTGCATACAGTCAAGTGCTAATGGAATAGCAGAAAACGGATCTTTCTTGGCTCATTTGACAGATAGGAAAACCGAGACCCAGGGACTTCACTGGCTTAGCAAGTTGGCAAAACCAAGACTAGAGCCCAAGTTTCCTGTTTTGGAACAGGTCCATTTTTTTTAACCATTCTATTTTGGAAGGTTGGGAAGCACTAGGAAGCTGAGCAAGTGCTGCCCTCTTGTGGGCAGTGCTTGGGAGATAGGCCCTCTTGGAAGGAGGTGAGCCAGTGGTAGAAGATGGAGCAGAAGCCAGATGTCTGACCTGGGAGGTTGCAGGAACAGAAGGGAAAAGGTTCTGTGTGAGATGGGTGACTTTCTACACTCACAGCAAGACCTTCGAGAAGAAAGAACTTTAAGAAGGAAGATGAAGAGTCAACTGAAGCAGGGACAGATGTTTTGGAGAATTCAGGGAGGGAAGAGAAGATGAAGACCAGCCACATGAACACCCTCATGGAGACAGAGCATCAGGCACTAGGCTGGTCGTGGACAATCATGGTCTGACTTTCTCAGTGCACTCTTCAACCTTTAAACATGGAAAAACCTCAGAGGGACAAGGAAGCAGGTTCACCTTGCTGAACACCTTCTGTAGGCAAGACATGATCCAGTACATCACAGATGTTGTTTAGTTATTACAGCAACTCCAATTTATATATTAATGATATTTTACAGATGAGGAAACTGAGGTCAGAGAGGCTCCTCTGGGCACACAGCTACCAAGGTATTTCCAGCTCCAAAGCCAGCCTGCCTTCCTGCCTGCCTGCCTGCCGCCTTTCTTCCTTCCTTCCTTCCCTCCCTCCCTCCTTCCTCCCTCCCTCTTCGTCTCTTTCTCTCTCTCTCCTCTCTCCCTCTTCTCTCTCTCTTCCCTCCCCCTCCCTCCCTCCCTCTTTCTTTTCTTTTCTTTCTTTCTCTCTTTCTTTTTCTTTCTCTCTTTCTTTCTTGAGACAGGGTCTTGCTCTATTGCCAAGCTGGAGTTCAGTGGTGTGATTGTAGTTCATTGCACCGTCAACCTCCTGGACTCAAGCAATCCTCCTGCTTCAACTTCCCAAGTAGCTGAGACAACAGGTGCCAGTCAACACCCAGTTAATCTTTTAAATTTTTTATAGAAATGAAGGTCTCATTATGATGGCCAGGCTGGTCTTGAAACCCTGGGCTCAAGTAATCCTCCTGCCTTGGCCTCCCAAAGTGCTGGGATTACAAGTGTGAGCCATTGTGCTGGTCAAAATTGAGTAGTATTCTTTCTACTCAATTTTACTACATCCTAACTGGGCATTGGGGTTTTTATTTTTTATTTTTATTTTTTTCCTTACAGTGACAGGCTGCATTTTAAGTTTGTGCATCAATTAATGAAGTGGGTGCCCTACAAGTCAATGTAATCATTATTCTGGGTATGTGGGATGTCTTCATAACCCCACAGACACTTCAGAAGTACCAGAGACATCTGAACAATACAGTGTTATGATTTCTTCTTCTTCATTTATTACAGCACAGCATGGTCCCTGCATGCAGCATTTTGTTAGCCTACTTCAAGTAGTAACAGTAATCATAATGAACTTTTCTTAAGCACTTGCTATGTGCCAGGCACTGTGCTATCTACCATGCAGCATGGATGATCTCGGTAGCCCTATGAGAGAGATGTTATGAAAGATGAATGTGGGCCATTCACCCCTGTAATCCCAGCACACTGGGAGGCCGAAGAGGGTGGATCACCTGAGGTTAGGAGTTCGAGACCAGGGTGGCCAACATGGTGAAACCCAGTCTCTACTTAAAATACAAAAAGAATTAGCTGGGCATGGTGGCATGTGCCTGTAATCCCAGATACTCAGGAGGCTGAGGCAGAAGAATTGCTTGAACCCAGGAGGCAGAGGCTGCAGTGAGCTGAGATCACACCACTGCACTCCAGCCATGTGGTTAACAGGTTGGGTTCACTTGCTAATCAGTCAGTCATGTTCACAGCTTCGTGACTGTGAGCAAGCCACTTAACATCTCTGAGCCTCAGTGTCCTCATTTGTAAAATGAATGAGCAGGTAACAGTACATGTGTTGAGTGCACGGTCTGGTGCCTGGCACCGCGTAAGCTTTCCATAAATTATGGCAATCGTCATTACTGTGAGGATCATTGCCATTTGGCTGACGAGGAAACACAGGCTGAAAGGTTAAATGATTTGCTAAAGGTCACACAGCTAATCCAGGGCAGGGCTTGAGACTCTGCAGGATTACAGAGCTCTTCCTTGGGGTACCACAAGGCATCTATTCATAAAGCCAATGTTTCCAAGCACTTTAAAAAGGAGTTTTCTAATTCGGAAGGGACGTCTTCCAGAATGAGTGAGTCCGACTGTATTATGAGTCAGACGTGGGTTCTACTTGACCATAAGTACCGGTAAAGCATGTGGGCAGAAAAAGCAAGGGAGAAAAACTGCTGGCTCACCAGGGCAACATAAACAAGGTGACCTTTACAGAACACCCCAGAAGACACAGAGATGCTGCATGGTGGTGCGTGGGGCAATGGCAGCAAAGAATTAAAGAGAGGCTAGGAGGAGGGAATGAGACAGGAAAGGGAGCAGCGAGGTGGGCAGATGTGAAAGACTGCATGGCAGCAGGGCAGGCAGGATGTGGAGGTCGGGAGGAGAGCTCTGAATGGCTAGGGAAATGGGAAGGCGGGAGCCTGGGGGCTTGGTTCTGAATGCCCTGGGAAAGATGAGGAGGCGTGAGAGAGGGGATGGAGAAGAGATGAGAAACACACAACAGATAAGCCCAGGAAAGCAAATCGCCAGGGGACTATAATTGGAAGGGTGATGGCTCCACCTCTTCATTTTACAAATGAGGAAACCGAGTCCCCACGCAGGAAGAAACAGACCCATGGTCACACATCAGTCAGCGGAATAGCTTTCGAGCCAGGTCTTTGGATTCCCAGTACAGAGTTCTTGGCAGCAGTAGCTCCTAGAGCTGGCTGCATCGGGACTCCCTAAGGACCAAGGTATAAGTGAAGATTCCCAGGCAATACAGATCCCAGGTCCCAGGCCAGTCTTTCTAAATCAGACTTTCTGAAAGGGTTCTCTAGTGCCTGGCTTTTAAAGAGGCTTCCCCACATGATACACCCAGCTCAGCAAGTGGCCTACAGTTTACCACTCTGAGATCTGGGGGGAATAAAGCAAGAATTACTGGAAAACTGAGGGGACAGGGATGACAATCACTTGTATGAAAGTCTGATGAAGGCTGGGAGGTAGGTTCCACCCACAGCCAACCTACACTGCTAAACCAGTGCTGTCCAATAGAAATAGAATGTGAACTACACATGGAATTTAAAATTTTCCTAGATAGCTCTGGGCGCGGTGGCTCACACCTGTAATCCCAGCACTTTGGGAGGCTGAGTTGGGCAGATCACTTGAGGTCAGGAATTTGAGACCAGCCTGGCAAATGTGGCGAAACCCTGTCTCTACTAAAAATACAAAAAATTAGTTGGGTGTGGTGGCACAAGCCTGTAGTCCCAGCTACTTCGGAAGCTGAAGCACAAGAATCACTTGAATCCAGGAGGTGGAGGCTGTAGTGAGCCAAAATTGTGCCACTGCACTCCAGCCTGGGTGACAGAGTGAGACTCCATTCCCCCCCAAAAATTGTTTTTCCTAGATAATAGATTTTCTAGATAACATATCCTAAATTTTCTATATATTTCTATTTTTCTGAAAATTCCTAGATAAATAGAAAATTTTAATTTCACAATTAAAGTTCTCAATTTTAGTTTACATTAAAAATTATTTTAAAAGAAACAGGTGAAATTAATTTTATTTTATTTTATTTTATTTTTGAGATGGAGTCTCACTCTGTTGCCCATGCTGGACTGCAATGGCATCATCTTGGCCCACTGCATCCTCTGCCTCCTGGGTTCAAGCAATTCACCTGCCTCAGCCTTTCCAGTATCTGGGATTACAGGCACCCACCACCACACCCCACTAATTTTGTATTTTAGTAGAGACAGGGTTTTACCATGTTGGTCAGGCTGATCTCAAATTCCTGACCTCAGGTGATCTACCTGCTAAACTGCTGGAATTACAGGCATGAGCCACCATGCCCTGCCAGGTGAAATTAATTTTGATAGTATATTTTACCTAACCTGATATATCCCTTATCACTTAAATATTTACCCAATGTAAAAAGTATTGAGATCATTTACATTCTTTTTTTTTTGAGACTGAGTTTTGCTCTGTCACCCAGGCTGGAGTGCAGTGTCAAGATCTCGGCTCACTGCAACCTCCACGTCCCAGGTTCAAGTGATTCTCCTGCCTCAGCCTCCCAAGTAGCTGGGACTACAAGCATGTGCCACCACATCCAGGTAATTTTTTTTATTTTAAGTAGAGATGGGGCTTCACTGTGTTAGCCAGGATGGTCTCGATCTTGTGACCTCGTGATCTGCCCGCCTTGGCCTCCCAAAGTGCTGGGATTACAGGCGTGAGCCACCACCCGGCCTTACATTCTTTTTCCATATTAAATCTTCAAAATCCTTCACATATTTCACCCTTAAAGCACATCTCATTCCACACTAGCCAATTTCGAGTGCTCAATAGCCATGTGCAGCTAGCAACTATCATCCCAGACAGCACAGAAAGAACACTTCCATCACTGCAGAAAGTTCTATTAAACAGCCCTAGCCCAGACCAGAGGTTAGCAGCCTTTCAAAGCGGCAGGAAAATGTTTCAGTGCTTTTTCTTCTGGCATTAAGGGGTGTTGTAATCAAAGGAAGAGAAACATTCTGGTATCTTTCTAGAAAAGATTTGTTTTATTCATTCAAGGAAAAGGGCAAAAAGGAGACCAGCTATTTGTGGGTCTTTGCGGTGGATTTTCTTTCGTTGTGGTAGAACCCAGGAAATATGTGAAATGGCTGGGCGCAGTGGCTCACACCTGTAATCCCAGCACTTTGGGAGGCTGAGGTGGGCAAATCACCTGAGGTTGGGAGTTCAAGACCAGCCTGGCAAACATGGAGAAACCCCGTCTCTACTAAAAATATAAAAAATTAGCCAGGCATGGTGGTGTATGCCTGTAATCCCAGCTACTTGGGAGGCTGAGGCAGGAGAATTGTTTGAACCCAGGAGGTGGAGGTTTCGGTGAGCCAAGATTGAACCATTATACTCCAGCCTGGGCAACAAGAACAAAACTCCATCTCAAAGAAAAAAAAATGTATGAAGTGCACAACTCTAAGTGTGAGAAGAATTTTACAAATGTGTTTATATGTATACACCCATGTAACCCACTCAGCTGAAAATGTGACGTTTCCAGCAGCCCAGAAGTTTCTTTCCATTGTGGCTCTTTCCTCGTCCTTGTGAATACCACATCCCAGAAGTAACATTATTCTGATTTTCAAGATTGTTGATTAGTTTTGCCTGCTCTTGGACTTCCTATGAATGGAATCATACAGTTTATACTTTCTGTGCCTGGCTTATTTCACCCAACTCAATGTCTATGGGATTTTGTTTTGTAGATCTAATAAAACCTGGCAAATTTCCGGAGGGCCTGGAAGAACACCTTCCCTTAATGTAGGCTGCTAAAAGCCCTGCCTACCCCAATGTCATCTTATTTCTCTTATTCATCAAGGCATTGATGGCCCACAATGAAACAGGAGAATATTCAGGTCCCTAAGATTTTGGCCCCTGGAGGTCTCAGAAGTCAAGAATTCGCAATCATGCCGGGCACGGTGGCTCACGCCTGCAATCCCATCATTTTGGGAGGCTGAGGCAGGCAGATCACTTGAGAACAGGAGTTTGAGACCAGCCTGGACAACAAGGTGAAACCCCGTCTCTACTGAAAATATAAAAATTAACCAGGTGTGGTGGTGCACGCCTGTAGTATCAGCTACTTGGGAGGCTGAGGCAGAAGAATCACTTGAACCCAGGAGGTGGAGGTTGCAGTGAGTCAAGATTGCGCCACTACACTCCAGCCTGGGTGACAGAGCAAGACTTCATCTCAAAAATTTAAAAAAAAAAAAAAAAAATTGCAACCGAGCAAGACAGAAGGGATTAAGGGCTCTGGTCATGATGTACCCTTAACAACAATCAGTGACTTATGATAGAGAGAAAGACTCAGGGTCAAGAATGTGGCACTGAGCCTAGTAGGACTTTTTCTGACTTCCAGTTTATAGATAATAGTCACGAGAAAATGAGGGCCTCCATCTGTCCTACCTCAATATCCACTGTCAATCTTCTCTCCATCTCATTTCCTTCCTTTTAAAAAATTGTTGAAATCACTTCTGGATTTATTTTTCTGGATCTGGAGCCTGAAACCCCAAAGAAACCAAGGAACCAGCCTTCCTTCCTTTCCCCATTGACTTGTATCTTGGGGAGCTGCCTCTCTCCTTTGAGCAGCAAATCAGGAAGGCTGGTAGTGGGGTGGGTCAAAGCTGCACTGGGGGTCAAGCCACTGGGTTCTCAGATGGAAATGGCCCTCAGAGGATCTTGCTACTGCTCCCTCCTCTCTCTCTCTCATGGTTGCTGGGCATCAAAAGCCTTACCTGTGGCTTCTTGTCCCTCTCCTCTGGGGACGGGTCTGTTTCTCTGTATACGACAGCTTTGGTTACCAGCATATCAGGATGCTGCAGTTTGGCCTCCTTGATGGCCAAAGCTAGGGCCTGGTGGGAAAGAACAGCAAAGGATGGAACCATGAAATATCTAAGATGAGAGAGACTGTGGAGAACAATAAGCCCTCTAGTGCATAGCTGGGGAAACTGAGGCCGAGGGAGGGGCAAAGTCAAACAATGAAAGGGAGAGACTAGAGCTCGGGTCTTCTGGCTCCTACTGGCTCCCATTCAATGCCCCTTCCTTGGGGGTTTCTTATGTGAACAGGGTCAGCAAGAAGTGGACACCTTCTCTGCCCGTGAGGGCAGCCATCCATGGATAACCCGACATGGAAGGGACTGAGCACTGCGCAGTGCCACTGGGAAGAACAATCCCTACCCCCATACCTGGTCTTGATCGACATCTTCGTCCCCAGTAATGATGATTCGCTTCTCGATCCTCGTCTCAGAAAACCCTCCTTTCACAGTCTGCAAAGGGGGAGGTGAGGTCACTCTTGGGTCCTACTGGGGCAACAGCTTCAAGAGGGGACCTACCCAAAGCATCTCTCAAGGGCAGGGCTGAGAACCAGCAGTTACCTTCTCTCCTGACTTCCTCAGATTTTTTCTTTTCTGGGTTTGGACTTTGAACTGCAGATTTTGCCTGGTTGCCACCACTCCCCCAACTATCAAACCACCCCATCTAGGTCTTCCAAGCCCAGCTCCATTGTTGCCTTCCGGACACTCATTGGCAATGCTTCCGCCTTCCTGCTTCGGTACTCCCGAGCCCTAAGTCTGTCTCTCTCACAGTTCTGGCCCTCTCTGCCTGATGCCGACCTTATGTGTGTCTGTGGCCTTGTTCACCTCACTAAGCTGCCAGCTCCTGAAGGCAGGGCCTATATTTTGTTCATCTCTGTACTCCCTCCTCCCCCACTCCCTCACCCAGTCTAACCAGGGCAGTGCTGAATGCAGATTTGTTGAATGAACACATGAATGAAATGTGAATGGTGACAAGGTTCTGCCTTTAACAACTTCAAACAATAGTACAAGAGAAAATTACATCGATGATACTTATGACCTCCGCTGCTTTCTGAAGGCATGGGGTGTGGGCAAGTATAGAAGTAATCGCTGAGGCAGGACCCGACTGTTTGGCATGTTGAAGCGGGGTGGTGTCTGTGGGGAATCCCAGCTGGAGTCAGGAGTGGATAGAAAGAAGAGGGGGCTCCCAGTTGGCAGGGACTTTGGGAAGAAGGGTTTCCTGAGCTGTCTGCTATGGGCGTGGGATGTAAAGCCTCCCATAAAGCTTTCAGAGAAGTCAACATTACTCAGTAATGCTTTTGCTGAGAGTAGGTTCTTTGTGAGGTATGTGAGAAAGTGCTAAGTCATGCAGAGGCACAGGCAGAGCTCAGGACAGTCTGTGCACGAAGGCCTAGTGCAGCTGACCAGAATTCGCCTGATGGCTCACCAGAGCCTCCAACTTGACCCGCCTCAACCTGGCTGTTCCAGGCCTCCAGCCCTGGCTAGGTGCCCTCCTGCCTTCCTCCTGGCCACATAGGTGTGGATGCATCAGCTGGCCTGCCTCCCAGTGAGCCCTTGTCCTCATTGCTGGATCACCCAGGAAGGCTTCCCTCCTTTGTCTCTGCCTCTTTCTGCCTGGGCTCTGACTCACACCCTGGTCCAGGCCCTCCCCACCAGGCCTGAGTTATTCATTATCTGTTTCTCTCCATACTTCTGCCTCTTCTTTCTCCCACCTATCCACATATCCCAGTGGACCTGCTATTCTCTCCTTAAATCTATTTTCACTGGGTTACTCTCCAGTCTAAAGACCTTCCTGGCTTTCCAATCTCTTCAAGGCCCAGATCCTCCAGAGTCAAATGTGTCCTGGTATTTGTGTTATTTGCTCTATATTCTGCCTACCTGCCTCCAGTGCAACCTGATTTTCCGGTTATACCCCCTACATGCTTCTCACATCCCATAAACAGGCCTCACTTACGGCTACAGCCAACAGCCCCTAGCACAGAGGCCAACAGAGATAAAGTTGACCCTCACTGACATCTGCTCAACGAACAAATAAGCAAACACAACACGGTTTCTGCTTCCATCTTCTGCTTCGCTTAGAACACCTGCACCTTTCTTCTCCTCCCTCAGGTGTCCTGCCTGGCTTTCCAAGACTCCACTCAGTCCCCACTTCTTCCAGGAGATGCTTCCTGACTCCTGCAGGGCCTCCCATAGCATCACCCCATCTAGATTCCTCCAGCAGTTTCCATCTACAAGGTGCACATGCCATTGTTCACAGTTACTTCAAAGAAAAGAGTATCGTGCCCCCAGCCTGGCTGTCCACGCTCTAAGGGAAGGGCCCATGCCTAGAACATGTGGCACAGGACAAAGCACACAGAATTCCAGAAACTGGCAAACACTACAGGCTTTCTCTGTCCGCTTTACATATGGCGACTCCAAAGCAGAACAACAGTCATGACCTTCTTGCCTCCTGCCCAGCTGGGGCCTTGGGGTGCCCTGCTGCTACTCACTTTGGTAACATGAGTGGTGGTGGAGGTTGAGAGGGTTTCCGCAGTGGCGCCGTAGGTGCTGGTGAGGACATCTTTCCCGATGATCTGCAGAATATAACCACCCCCCACCCAGGGTGTCAGGTAAGGACACTGGGCTCTGGAGGGGTCGGGGCAGGGTGGGGTAAAGGGCCCCGTGAAGGTGACGTTTCAAAGCCAAGATGCTTTGAACCATTAAGAATTAAAGAATACTGGAATCTTCAGAAACCTATACCCAAATCTCAGATTCCTAGACGCTAAGATTCCTGAGGCCCAGAATCCTAATACCCTAGAATTTAAGAATCCCGGCATCATGGAAGAATGACCAAAGGGATCCAAGGTGGAAACAGAATCCTCCTGATCTCCCATCCTGTCACAGCCAGGTGCAAACCCTCTGCAGAGCTAAACAATGAGAACCACAGACTTAGAGAATACAAGAGCTGGAAGAGACCTCACAGTGATGGACTCAGGGTTACTGGGCAGGCACCAACAGAAGCAGCTCCAGATTCCAAGCCTCTGGCCTCCTAGTCCATTGCTCTTCCTAGTTAGTAGGGAGGGCAGATGCAAAAGAACCATCAGAGGCACCACCAAGGTGAGGGGCCACTTCACCCTCACATGCCGCCAGTGCCCTGCGTACATGTGTGGGTTGGGGGAGAGAGGGCCACTCATGAGATTCTAGCAGGCACCAGGGAGCCCTGTGGGCAGCTGAAAAGGGTCCAGTTTCCTGGCTCTGCACCTAGAAGTGTACCTTCTGGGCTCAACACTGCACTTCCTGACAGCCATATATGGGTCCATGCCCATATTCTCAGTGCAGAGTCCCCTAGCCTGAGCTGGCCTTGCCCACTTACCGGAGAAAGAGAACGGATTTCCGTGGCCACCGTCTGTGGGCCTGGGATCATGGCAGCTGCCCCCTTCCCGGACTTGAGACTGCTCTCCTGGGGAAACAATAGTGCTCAGATGGCCAGCTCTCAGGCGGATGGGCCCCCAGGATGGCTGGAGCACATGGCCACATAGCTCTCAGGACCACAAGGTTGAGTCGTAACAGTAGAAGCAAAGGACTGAAGGCATCATTCAGTTCCACCTCCTCTCATTCATCCCTCGCTCACTCAGGCACACACTCATTCACTTGCACACTCACTCATTCAACAAACATTTACAGAGAGTCTGGCGTTAGGCACAAGACATGGCATTGTTCTCCAAAAGCACTAGCAGAGGAGTTGCCAGATTCAGGCTCATGTCCCGCCCCGCCACCTTCGAGCCACGTGACTCGGGGCAGAGCCACTTCCTTTCTATGCACCTTGCAGATACATCTGTAAAAAGGCCCCCCTGCCCCAATCCCATAGAGAACCTATGAAGCTAATGGAGTAGAAAAGGTTTTGCAAACCAAAATACATAGGATAAATATAGAGGCATAAGCTGGCTATTTAGAATGTAATAATAATGACTTTCTGAGTGCTTGCTATGTGCTAGGCTAGTGTTTTAAGGATGTTACATGCCTTATCTCATTTAATCCTTATAACACCCGTAGGGTGTTATTTTAAATATTCTTGACTTACAGATGAGAAACTGGAGGACGAGAAAAAGTTAAGTGTTCAGTCCCCCAGCAAGTTAGTGGTAGAGCTGGAACTTAACTCCACGTTGTCCGACTCTAAGTCCGACACGCTCTTTCAGCATGCCACTCTGCCCTTGTGACTCTTTCTCTTCAGACAGTTCTCCTGACCCTACCTTAAATTCTAACTGCTAGAGCTTCCTGGAATTGTCCCTGGACTCACTGTCCCCCATCTGGCCAGGGCCCAGCTGCCTGCTTCTACCTCCTACTTTCTGCACCATCTCAGGGCTCAGCCTTGTCTGTCCAGGGGCCCAGAACTGTGTCCATTCTGCAGGTCCTCAGTGGCTTGACCTCTAGTTCTGGTCCAGGCATGGCACTAGATGTGGACCTCTAGCTACCAAGGGGCAGGTGAGGACAGAAACTCACTGACTTTCCCCTGCCCCTCCCACACCTGCCTGCAGCTGAGGCTGCCAGCAGCCTGGTTCCTTGGTACTGCACCCACAAGGCAGGTTCCAGATGCGCCTGCAGTCCCAGAATGTGACCCAGCAGCAGGCCTTCCAAGGGCAGTGTCTGGGCTCAATAATTCCTTTCCCCTGGCTTAGGGAAGAGCCATTAGCCCCTCTGAATCCTAGCATCATTCTGGGCCTTTCTCCCTTAAAGCCTCTTATTCTCTCATTGTTCTGTCTTTCCCAGGGCAAAGCCTCACCTCCACCTTCACACTAAAAACAGAGGCCACCACTAGGGACATCAATCATTCAAAACAGGGCACCCTCTGCTCCTCCCTTCCTCTCCTGTATCCTCGGCCAGTCCCATCACCTGCCTCCAGGAGAAGCGGTTCCTCTCCCTGACCAAGGCAAACTCAGCCCTCTGCTCCTCCACACTGAGGCTGTCGTCACTCGCCACCCTCTCTCTAGGCTGCCTCGGCTACTCAAGGGCTTCTGCTGCCCCATTGAGGTCAAAGTCCTCTATCCCTTCGCCTGTAGCCCGGATCTTTCTCGGATCTTAGGCCTTTAAAACCAGTTGTGTTCCAGACATTTTCCCCTGGAAATGTCCCACAGGTACCTCAGACTCATCCGATCTCAAATGGAATTCACTGCTTCCTCCACTTCCAACACATGCTTGTCACTACAGAGCACCTTCCCCTAGCGCTCCGTTTATATCAGCAGTTCTCCAACTTCAGAGGCATCAGCTGGAGGGCTTGGAAAAACGCTCACGGCTGCGCCCCACCCTGGAGTTTCTGAGTCACTGGCTAGTGAACAGCATCACAAGTTCATCTTTCCTCTTGTCCCCTGAACATTCTACAAACAACCAAATCCTGGGCTTTCTCCCCTCCAGGCATCCGTTAACCCTGACCCCTTCTCTGCATCTACCTCCTTGCACTCCAGCCCCACCCTAGCCTGGGCACAGGCATCTAAGCTGGTTCCCTGCCTTCTCTCTCTGTCTTTCCCAGTGGCTTGTGGGCTCCAGAGCTCAGGGATATTCCCTTCTTCAAGCTGGATTCACAGAGCCTGCTATGGAACTGCACACATCATGGGTTTCCTCCAATCGATATTTGTGGAAGGAAGGAGAGAGAGAGAAGGAGGGAAGAATTTTTGGCTCCAGTCCCTCCTCCACACACATTGCTAGAATAATCTTTCTAAAACACAGAAACACATATCTGATGACATCATGTTCCTAATGTAAAAACTTAAGTGATTTCCCATTTTCTGCAGGACAGAGGTTTGAACTTGGCGTATGACATTTGAGGGCCTTCAAGCTCTGGCCTCGCCTTCCTTCCCAGCCTCTTCCCCTCCACCACCTCCCACCTGCTGGCTCTTCCTCCACGTGCCCTTCACCAAATGGAGCGTAGGCTCCTTCCCTTCTGCCCTTTGCACTTGCTTTTCCCACTGTCTAGAACGCCTTCTCCTGGGACTGTACCTTAACTTATCCTTCAAGCATAGCTCAGTCAAATGTCCCTGCCTGGGGAAAGCCTTTCCTGGCTCCTCCTGGCACAGATGTCACCCCATAGCTGTCCTCCTGGTGGCCCCTAGGATAGCATTATTACACTGTCCCATGAAGGCAGGAAAGAGTAACAGCAGCTCACATCTACAGACCACTTATTATGCGCCAGGCCCTGTTCTCAGGGCGTTGCACAGGTTGCTTTGGTTCCCTCTCACATCAGCCCTTTGAGGTATGTGCTATTCCTGCTCTCTACCTTCACCCATTTTACAGAAGTGAAAACTGAGGCTTGGAGAGGTTCAGGTAACTTGTCCAAGGTCATCCAGCCAGGAAGTGGGACAGCTGGGCCTTGTTCTCCACTGTAAGCCTGGAACCTAAATACAGGGGCATAGCACATTAGAGGTGCTCATGACAGTCATTTGAATGAATGAATCCCAGCAGGCAGTATTGTTTCTTCAACTGTATCCCCAGTACCAGGCAGATAGTACAGACTAATAAATGTTTTTGGAACAAATGGATGGATGGATGGATGGATGGACGGATGGATGGATGGATGAGTAAATGAATGGTATAAGTGCCTGCTTACCATATGAACGGATTTAAATTTAGCTCTACAAACATCCCAATGACATGTGGTAAAGGACCAAGGGGAGAGGAGGAATTGAGTGACCAGGGAAAGCTGTGTAAGCTGGTAACTAGCTTGGGCTTATTGATCTTAAAGTTTCTGTGTATTTAAAACCTGTCTGCTGCCTAGTCTAGATTGATGGAATTCCCTTCCTATGTATATGTTGAAGGCTTGGCAAGAAAGAGTATCTTGAAAACAACTTCTCAATGGCTCAAGATAGAGCTGGCTCCAGCATCCCTACCTTTCCTAGACCCAGCAGCAGCCACAACTGCAGCCCCAGCCCCATGCGGCTGAGGTTCACCATGGTCAGGATCAAGGGAGCAGAGCAGAGCGGCTGGGGTTGAAAGTGGGGCTCCTGGTGTCAGAGAGCCTGGGGATAACCTGTCGCTACCACTTACTGATTGTGTGACCTTGGGTAAGTCGCTTTCTCTCTCTGAACTTCAGTTTCCTCATCTGTGGAGGATGTGGAGGGAAGAGCGTCCACTGAGATTATCCACTCAGGAGTCTCAGCACATTGCCTGGAACTACAGCCTGTGTGCTGACTGCTATGTGTTCTGTTTAATCGTGAAAGGAGCTAGTGTTGAACAGGTCTCTTAAGAACGAACTGCAGAATGTGGATTATTGCTTTTTTACAGTTGAGGACACCTGAAGCCAAAGACCTTCCTTAATGGGTCAGACAGCAAATATGTAGCAGAACCATGTGGTCCCTCAACAGGCAGTCCCAAAAATCCTGTGTCCAACTTAGGGTCACTGCACACCATCTGCTGACCAGGGTCTAAGTGGTCTAAGACATGAGAAAATGTGCAGCCACCAGGATGGGTCCACAGGAAGGACTCCAGCCTCACCTTCAGAGTGGAGGTGAGATGAGCCAATGAAATCTCAATGCAAGTTGAGATTCGTGGGTGCCCATAACCAAAGAGGACCATCCTCTCTCTCCCCCTGCTATGGCTGAGATGGTCTAGATAACTGACTCTCAGGGATTCCACCACCCACTTTATTCACTTTGGAAAACTGAGGCCTGACTATATGTCCTGTGGCAACTAAAACCCCAGACAATAAACGGCTGACTTATGTCCCACACCTGAGGCAGCGAGAGCAACTCACGGCTTCCCGAAGCAGCCAGGTGGCGTTAGCTTGTTCTCTGGCTGTTTGGCAGGACAAGGGGACTGGTCAGAGAGGGAAGCCTCCTGGGTTCAACTTACCATGGTGGTCGATATGGTCTCCGTGGTGATGGAGGGAGTGGTTGTTATGAACTCCCTCCCCACTGAGGCACTCCCATCAACCTGCTGACCAGAGGAGGAGTTGTTAGAGCTGGGGAGAGCCAGGTACACCTGCAGCATCTGTCACCTGGGCTCACGGCCTCCCAGTTACAAAGCGACAGGCTGTGTGAGGGAACGCCACTGGCAGGGAGCTGCACACAGACCAGCTCACAGAGGGGCAACAGGTCCTCATTGCATTCCAACCGACTTATGTGATAAAGAAAAATAATCTCAGACTATCTGGCAAACTCTATCCAAATTTCAGCACGTGTAATCTTTGACCTAGAAATCTCTGGGTACCGACTCTTTGGATATAACCTTTGAAAAGTTTGCCCAGAAGTAGGAGCAAGGAAATTCACGGCAGTGCTCATTGTGAATTGTACAAGACAAAAACAACCACAGGGCCCGCCAGTGGGAGACAGAGAAATAAATTGGGCTTTGCCTCCTAAGTGACATGAGGAAGAGTAGAGCGGGGCTATGTATGCCAATAAGGAGTGATCTCCAAAACAATTACTAAGAAAAAAGGTAAGGTATAGGAAAAGATCACCTCTGTGTAAACATTTTTAAGTATATAGAGATGTAGCTATCTGTGTTGGAATCAGTTTCTATTTTTTTTTTTTGAGTGGTATTATAAGAAAAATCTCATTTTGTTCTGCTTGAATTGTATAACTGTAAACTTTTTTTGTTGTTTTGTTTTTAGGTCAATAAGGGTTACTGGGCTGTGGGATCTAGGGCTACTTTTAGTTTCTTTATACTTTTCTGTATGAAAACACGACAGAAACATGTGTTACTAAAATGAAACAGGACAGAGGGGGAAAGCAGCTTGCCCAAGGTCACACAGCTCATCAGACTCAAGAGTCCTGACCTGTAGTAGGCGGCTTCATAAACTTCATCCTTATAAGAGTGGTTCTGGGAACAAAAGAACTGCTCATGTTGTATTGGTTTATGTCTTATTTCAGTTTTCTCTCTCTCTTTTTTTCCCTGTCACTTAAGCTGGAATGCAGTGGTGCAATCATAGCTCATAGTTCACTGCAGCCTCGACCTTCTGGGCTCAAGCGATCCTCCTACATCAGCCTCCCTAGTAGCTGGGACTACAGGCATGTGCTACCACGCCCAGCTAATTTTTGTATTTTTTGCAGAGATGGGGTCTTGCTATATTGCCCAGGCTAGTCTTGTACTCTTGGACTCAAATGATCTGCTTGAGGCGATCTGCCCCAGTTTCACAAAGTGCTGGGATTACAAGTGTGAGCCACTGTGCCTAGTCTTATTTCAGTTCTTGAGACAAAGGTTAGTCTCAGAGCAAAAACGCTCCTAGCATTTTAGCTCTTCTGGCCAGGAAAAACCAAAAGGGCATCCATCAGACCCTCAATCTTAATTTCCTAGGTTTAAAAATCACAGAAGGAGTGTAGGGAATGCACTGGAAGTCGTGCACCTAGGCACATCACCTCTGCATGGTGGCTTTCTCCTGGGTGGGCAGGATGCTTTCTCTTGTCAAGACACACGATTTTTGGTTTTCTTCCTTCACTTTGCTCGTTTTACTGATCTGATGTAGAACTCGCGTGCATAAAAAATGACCCAAGGTGAGCTATTCTGACAGAAGCTAAATTGGGATCTCTCCCTCTTCTCTCCCCAAGCAGCTCCTGGGATGCCTCAAGAAACCTCTCCAACTCCTCCAAGAAATGTGAGCACCAAGGTCCTAATCCACTAGCCAGTACAGTCCTCCCAATATGTCCAGAAGGAAGGGGTAGACAGGGTCATTCCCATTTTATGGATGGCTAAATAGAGGCTTTAAGAGGTTTGGTCTTCCCAGGACAAGAACCTGCTTTACCTCTCGCCCCTCCCCAGAGCTCAGGAAGGACACAGGCAAAGAACAGCATCAGGATTAAAATGGGAGTTCCAGGGAAGCTGAGATTAAAAGGACTGGCCAAGGGGTTTGACCACAGCAGTGGGGACCCTACCACTAAATGCCCAATACCCATGCTCAGGGTACATTGGAAGGCACAGGTTACCTGGGTGTTATCCATAGTGGAGACTCTGGTCTGCAGTACAGCCTCTGGCTCAATCTTCTTTCTAATGGCCAGACTGCTGACAGTCATGGTTTCCGTTTTCACAGGCTGTAGGGAAAGAAGGGAGAATGCTCTGTAACTGAAGCCCTAGCATGACTCTTGCTCACAGGCAGCTGCAGGGTGGGGTCTACAGAGATCTATCCCCACAGCTGGCCACGTCTCTGGAAGGGTACCCAGGTCAGGGTAAAAGATAAGTGGTATGACATCACAGACAAACAGCCCATGAAGAGAGCCAGGACCATCACCAGGACCAGGCAGGCCTGCCCCACGCTCCTGTGCCACACATCCTCATGGTGGCTATATGCTGTTTTTTAGGTTACAATTAGAACATCTACTATTTCATTTACATATTCTATGCCAGGGCCCGGGCTGTTTTCCTTGTGTATATAATGTCACCGAATCCTGAATGACTTAAATGGTGAGCTTACCACCTATCAGCGGCTTCAGCTGATCTTTTTTTTTTTTTAAGACAGAGTCTCCCTCTGTCGCCCAGGCCGGAGTGCAATGGTGCAATCTCGGCTCACTGTAACCTCTGCCTCCCAGGTTCAAGCAATTCTTCTGCCTCAGCCTCCCAGGTAGCTGGGACTACAGGCACCTACCACCACACTGGGCTAACTTATATATTTTTAGTAGAAACAGCGTTTCACCATGTTGGCCAGGCTGGTCTCGAATTCCTGACCTCAAGTGATCCACCTGCCTCAGCCTCCCAAAGTGCTGGGATTACAGGCGTGAGGCACCTTGCCCAGCCTGGACGAGCTGCCACACATCTAGGAGGCCTACAACATCCAGGCAGGAGAGGCCAATGAGTGAAGAGGGTTTGTTGAGGACTGGGGTGAAGTAGAGAGCATGTGGGATCTATCTGGGTGTGGCCAACTGTGACTGTGACCTCTGAGTGTGTGACTTTTTCTCTTTTTTTGAGATGGTGTCTCACTCTGTTGCTCAGGCTGGAATGCAATGGTGAGATCTCTCAGCTCGCTGCAACCTCCGCCTCCTGAGTTCAAGTGATTCTCCTGCTTCAGCCACCCAAGTAGCAGGACTACAGGTGTGCATCATCATGCCCAGCTATTTTTGTATTTTTAATAGAGACAAGCTTTTACCATGTTGGCCATGTTTGTCTTGAACTCCTGACCTCAGGTGATCCACCTGCCTCAGCCTCCCAAAATGCTGGGGATTACAGCTGTTAGCCACTGTGCCCAGCCATTTTGTGTGTGTGTGTGTGTGTGTTTTAGAGACAAGGTCTCACTCTGTTACCCAGGCTGGAGTGCAGTGGCATGATCTCACTGGAACTTACTGCACCTCAAATTCCTGGACTCAAGTGACCTTCCTGCCTCAGCTCCTGAGTAGCTGGGATTACAGGCACAAGCCACTGTGCCTGGCTGAAGGGGATTCTTATAGATGGTTGCAACCCTGTAACCCAGCCATTCATCCAGTTAATCATCTGTTAGTGCCTAGTATATGCCAGGCCTAGAGGAGCTGCCACCTGGTGGGAGAGCAGGCTTGTCAGCCACTGACCTGACAGCTTTGGATAGTGTTGGAGCATAGGCACTACAGGGGAAGGGGGCCAATACTTCTTCCCAGGATGATCAGGAAATCCCCTGCTAGGAAACTGACATTTGAACTTGGTCCTGGAACATGACAGGTTTGTAAGGCACAGAGAGGGAGAAAAAAAACCCTTCTGCTCAGAGACTACAGCATGAAGTGAGAGCTTAGGGGGGCTAAGCTCGTATTTCAATGTCTGGAACGTTGGGGAAAGGAAAGTGTGGGAGGGAGGCTGGGTCTAGAAGAGATGAGGAGGCAAAGAAATGACATGGGCAGACATGTCTTAGAGAGATCCCTTTGCAGCTCTGCAGAGGAGGCCAAAGAGAGGCCCAGACACAGTCTGTGCCTTCTCAATGACCATGTCTTCTCTCTTCCGGGAGATTTCATTACCACCCTGAGACCCCAGGGCCAGATGAATTTAAACTGCTTCCCTTTCCCCGGGAATCCCAGACCCCAGAGAGATAAGCCTAGGCCCCCGGATCAGGAAACAACATTCAATTTTCAGACCAGGCTGCAGGAGCCCCCGAGAGTCCACAGACACATGCTCTCTGCAGGGGCCATGCAACACAGGCGGGGTGGGGGCATCACATAAGACCAGACGACCTGTCATCGCTCAACCTCAGCAAGCGACGGGGTCACAGGGTTAAAACACCAAGGAGCGCGTGTTAGGGGTGAACCGAGACGGCAAACATGCGAGCACAGAACCATGCTGTTCTGTGGAGGGGCAGTCATGCAACACGAGACAAAGATTCAGGCTGCAGGCTGGGTTCTCTGTCTTCTCACGGGTGGCCCGGAGCCCTCTGAGCATGCGCTGCCCGGTGGACCCAGCTCTTGAGGAAGCTCCACTGTACCTCAAACTGGGGCATATCCGGGGTGGAGCAGGCCCCTCGATCCGGGCTGTCCTCTATGCCCCCAGACTCATCATCCTGGCTGGGGACCCCCTTGTTGAGATCCCGGGAGAACACCAGGCCCTCAGTGTCTGAGTCGCTTTTGTCCCGGTCGAGCTCAGGCAGGCTGCGGGAGAAGTCTTCGAAGGCGCTGCCGTGGTAGTCACCAATGACCGTGAAGTCCACCTCAGCCTCCAGGCTGGACGTAGAGCTGACCGTGATGCTGGAGCACTTGCGCTCAATGGCCAGGTGGTTGTCCTTCAGGAATACCGCATCCCTCTCCTGGTCCTGGTCCTCGTCGCCCGTGTCACTCTCTGGGGCCCGGGGACGTGGTGGTTTGACTTTTTCCTCGGAGCCCTCCCTCAGCCCTGCTCTCTATGGCCAGATAAAAATCAAAAGGATAGGGATGTGGGGTGGGGAGAGAGAGAGAAAGAGAGAAATCAAGATGGTGAATGTCAGGAGAAGCCTTGGGGCTATGTCGACACCCCGAATGGAAGAGCAGACCAGGAAACGAAAAACACCCCCAGGAAAGGTTCCTTGAAATCATAATAAGCTTAAAAAAAAAAAAAAACCAAAAACGACTCAAGAGTGGAGATGCCCCTATCCGAGGGCCTCACACTGATGGCAAAAGCAAGTACAAAGCAAACGTCCTGCCAGTGAGTCCTGGACAGGAGGCTCCATCCAAGGGTGTTGAATCTGGGAGCTCACTGGAAGCGGCATTGTGCAAAAGGCAGGGATGGAAGCCCAGACCCCAGGCCCATCCATGCAGGTGGGCGTTGAGAAACAGAAACTAAGGAGGGAGACCCAGGGATTCAGGGAGACCCAGGAAGGGAATGCAGAGAGGTTGGAGCCAAGAGCTTTGAGGAACAAAAGAGGAAGCCAACATATTTGTCAATTCCACTGAGTCTCTGTGGGAGGGGTCAGCATTGACTAGAGGGAGGAGCAATTCGGGGTCAGGCCTTTTGGGCAAGAGCTTCTTGGGAGCTGAGTGTTATGCCGGCTCCACCCTGAGCACCATGAGTGGACCACAGGCAGGTCAGAGGCCCTGGTCCCAGTGAAATTGATAACAGCAGGCCAAGGCAGTGCCTGGGGGAACCAGCAACTCTTGTCCGACATACATACCTCTCAACTGGCCTGTCAGGGATTAAGCACCACACACACACGTTTGGCTGGTTCATGACATTCTTTTAAAAGACCAACCTAATACCCATGAAAGATTCTTAAAGAACGTGGCTTCTGGTTCTAGGGATTCAGTGGGCTTAGACATTCACTTGCTAAGCGAGCCTCCATTTAGCCAGTTTCTGGAAGATTGACAGGTGTGAGGGAGACATTCCAGACAAGCCAGGGTTGAGCAGCACGAGAGGTGCTGCCACAGCAGGTGGGAACCTAAGGCAGCGATGCATCCTGGCCAGGTGAAGGTGACCGGGTCATCAGGGCACAGAGGGACTGCAGAGACCTGAGGGCCTGAGGGGCTGGCGAATCTCAGGAGCCCCCCCTTCCCAGGGGTGTTGGCTGCTAAGTTGGTGGAACGTTTCTCTTTCCTGACCGCATCTCCGGATTTGTTCTGGATTAGAGAAGACAGTTAGAGGCAGAAAGAAACTTGGCACGGGGACTGAGAGGGAACCAGAAGCGAAGGATGGAAACCTCTGGACTGTCAGCTTTCCCAAGGCAGGAGAACCAGGGACAGGAAAGGATGAAGAAAGATCGCTGGACAAGCCAAGCAAGGTAGGCAGGAACCCAGCGGGTAGGAGCGGCAAGGCAAAGCAGGTGTGTCATTTGCTGGTGGTGGCGCCACCTTCTCCATGGGGGTTGTGTGACCCTCTGGGCACCAGGTCACACCGAAAGCTGAGGGTCTTTGTGGCCAAGCTAACACGGGCCAAGCGGAGAAGCCCATCATTCAGCCTGAGCAACACCCAGGCCCGTTTAGGGAAATGAACTCACAGGGATGGATAAGCAGCCTCTGATTGCAGTAATGATGAGGGGCCACTGAAACATGCTTCTAAGAGCTACAGAGCATGCGGCCAGCCCCCATGGGTAGGGAGCAGCAATGGGGGTGGGGGCTCAGGTGGCCAGTTACCCCAGTTCCAGTAGCTTCTGCCAGCGTGGTTTCACAGCCCGAATCGGGGGACACGGGCCCTGGTTCTGTGTGTACTTCCTGGTGGGATGCAGAAGTGTCCTCCCCGACGTGCCTGGTAGCCAGAGGCATCACTGTGGCTTTGGGGCCAGGAAAGTCCCCTGGGGGCTGGAGCTGGACGAAGCCCAGGTCTGAGAGCATACTCCACTGCCACTCTGTAGGTCCTGCAGGGGCCTCTGATGACAAGTCATTTGGAAGGGCCCTTGCATCACCCTGGCTCATTTGGCGAGTTTCAGCTCCATGGGTCTCAAATATCCGAATTTTATTGGCCACTGAGGTCTTGCTAATATCTTCTAGGGAGCCCTCTTGGCCCCCAGCCTGGAAAGAGGTCCTCTCCCTTTGCTTCCCTGAAGGGAACACTAACCCCAGAGGTATGCGCCCCTCACCTTCTTCAGGGACTACTCTGGGCTTTCTGCTGGTGATGGGAGGTGGCCTGCGCTCACCTCCTGTGTTAGGGGACACCACAAACCCTACTTGGTCCTTGGGCTCTGGACTGGCTTTCGAAAGATGGACATGTCTGAGAAAGGGCTCCCTGAGCTCCGAGGGCTCCCCTGACCCATGGGAGGCTGGGCTTGGAGAAGCTTCCTCCTGAGCTGCCAGGTCCTCCGAATGACCGGGGGAGGCTGGCAGGGGGATGATCACCTCCATGTGAAGAAATGCTGAGGCCTCGCAATCCTTCAGCTCAGCCCCGCCTTTCCGGGTGGGAACCGCTCTCCTGTCTTTGGGTGGGAAACTGCCTCTGTCTGGTTTGGCTGGCTTCCTGACATTCGGAGGGACAGCCTGAGGAAGGGCGCAGGCCTGGGGGTCGGGATGCATACCTCCTCCTCTGTGAGGAAGGCGGTTCTTCAGTTCCTCTGAGGGACTTTTCAGAGCCTTTCCCAGCAAATCTCCACTCACAAGGGCCTCCTCCTCGAAGGCTGTGCTGGCTGTTGGGTGGGTAAACGATCCTTCCACTCCCCACTGGGCATCTTCGCAGTCTCCAGCAAATGTCTGTGTTGCAGTAGGTCCCTTCAGGTCACCAGGTCCTCCATGGTTCTTGAGGGTCCTTGCCCCTTCCTCTGGGGAAGCCATGTGGGCTTCGTCCTTGCTCCTGCTAGAAGCGGTGGCAGAACCTCTCAGGTCTGAGGAATTAGGTGACGGCCTGGGCTCACCTCCAGGAGGGGCATCCAGGTGCCCTTGTCTCTCCTCCAGGGATGGAGGGAAGACTTGGTCTTCTGAGTCTTTTTCTTCATAGTTTAAATAGAAGCTCCTTTCTGCAAAGAAGGTATCAGTTTCATCGCTCGACTCAGCTCTGGCTTCTGTGTGGGCTGGATCCAATAGAAACGACTGGAGTCCTCCCTTGTTGGAGGCTGAAGAGAGGACGTCCACCTCTGCTGGCCCGGTCCCTGGAGCAGTGGGCCTCCCACAAGTGTGGAGCTCCTCCAGCCCCTTTCTCAGCTCTGTCTGGCCCTCCAGCTGACCATCTGACATGCAGCGGTCCCTGATGGTTGCCTCTCTGGTATCTGCCTCCCTGAGCTCAGAGCCCTCGAGGAGCTTTTCCGCCAATGTGTGGTCTGAAGCCAGGGCAGCCCCTTCCGGGCCTTCCCTGATCCAGGGGACTCCCTCCCACACTGACTCAAAGTCTTCAGGACTTGCAATCATTCTTCCTCGTTGCTGGGTGTTTGCTCTTCTGGTTCCCACCATTTCTTCCATGGCCACTTCCACCTTGAACTTGTCCACCAGAACGTTTACCCTGGAGAGTCTGCCGTCGGCAAGGATACCAGCAAGGCCTGACTGCCTTTCTTCCTGCTGGGTGGTGGTCACTTTTAGGAGACCGAGATCTTCTGGCCTAGTGTACTGTCTTTCTATAAATACCCAATGCTCTGAACCCTGTGTTTCAATTGGAGCAAGAAGAGTTAACGTGAAATATCAGGCACCTGAAAAATGGGTGTTTTTCCCTTTGTAAGAGGGGACCAATCTCTCATGGAAAGGTTTGACTCTGGGACAGCACATCCCCAGAACTGGCTGGGGGGAGGAAGGCATGACAGTGCCAGCCATTCTCATCGAGGTCACTCTACCCCATCAGGCATGTGATAAATTATTGACCAATTTTCCTCAACCATTGACCCCAACTTAATAAAATGGGATGGGGTATTATGCCTTCCCCCATGTCAGCCATGAGGAAATGGAGATCCATGGATGGGCCAGGACCCTTCCTCTTCCTTTTTTTTTTTTTTACTTTTGTATTTTTAGTAGAGATGGGGTTTTTGCCATGTTGGCTAGGCTGGTCTCGAATTCCTGATCTCGTGATCCTCACTTGGCCTTCCAAATGCTGGGATTGCAGGTGTGAGCCACCATGCCTGGCCCCTCTTCCTCTTTTAATAACATAACTGCCACTGTCAGAGGGGGAGGTCGTTTCTGTCACGTGGCATCTAAATGTTAGAGCCGAAAGTACTCTTACGATTTATCCAGTCTCATCTCCTCATGGTGTAAATAAGGAAACAGGCCTGGAAAAGGTCAGTGACTTGCCCGAGGTCACTGTTAGGAGAAGGCAGAGTCAGGAAAAGAAAGCCTGATTTTTGAGGCTGGAGATCTTTTCTAACTTATTTTACAACCACAGGATATGGGTGCCAACTGTGATCTAACATCAAGATGAAGGGATGCATTAAGCTCCATAGGCCACAGCCTGAAATCCAACCTTTCTACGAGGGCTTCTGGGAAGAAAGCAGAGTAGTTGTGGAGATACAATATGGCCAGGTTAGTGCCAGGCACCACAGTGGCTTAAACAGCTTGAACACTGTGGGTTTCGATCTAAAAGAAACAAATACCAGGGCCCATTCTATTTCTAACAAACCCCATCAAAAGAGCAGAAAAGGACTGACCAGAATGCATCAAGGAAGGGAGAGAGCTAAAGATCCAAGCATCATCGTGCATCAAAAGCATCCGAGGCTGGTGTGGTGGCTCACACCTGCAATCACAGCACTTTGGGAGGCCAAGGTGGCCAGATCACGAGATCAAGAGATCGAGACCATCCTAGCCAACATGGTGAAACCCTGTCTCTACTAAAAAGTACAAAAAAATTAGCCAGGTGTGGCGGCAGGCGCCTGTGATCCTACCTATTCTGGAGGCTGAGACAGGAGAATCATTTGAACACGGGTGGCAGATGTAGCAGTGAGCCAAGATTGTGCCACTGCACTCCAGCCTGGCAACAGAGCGAGACTCTGTCTCAAAAAACCAAACCAAAACAAAAAACCAAAAGCACTGTCAGGCCATCTCCCAACGGCTTCTACCTCCCCCAAGAGTTCCTCAAACAATGCCTGGGAGGGGATGATGGACTTCTAAAATGGTTAGAAAAGCAGGAAGGTCACTGGGTTTTTCATCTTCTTGTAGCCACAGGATTACTTCCCACAAAATTCTAATGGAAGTCTGGGATGTGACAGAAATACAGAGCTGCCCTGGCGAAGGTGGGGGTGTGGGCTGCCTTAGTGCCTTGAGGTAACTCCCTCCTTTGAAATCATTGCTGAAACTAGAGCCCCTCTTGATGCAGATATGGAAACTGAGACCTGGAGCAGCATCTTGCCCAAGGCCACACAGGGAGCAAGTGGAAAGGCAGGCCTCGAACTCAGTCTCTGATGCCAAGTTCTGTGAAGTGTGTCCTCTCCACCCTACCATAACCACCTCCACAGGGAGATGTGCCCAAAACTGCTCCTGGCAGCAGGAGGGGGAAGGTTTATATGACCTTGGGCTCCTTTTCAGGTTATGACTTCATGAGGAGTCGGTTCATCCCACCCCACTGGGAGCAGTCTGTCAGATCCCTTAAGGTCTGATGAATTCTGGACCAAAACCCTCTGTTCACCACTGCATTTTGGCAAAATCTCTCTGATTGCCAGGGAATCAGAACCCATTAAGATAATCTTGTCCATGGGAAAGTGAGATAAAAGGAAGGGAGAGGCTGGGAGTAGTGGCTCACACCTGTGATCCTAGCACTTTGGGAAGCTGAGGTAGGTGGATCACAAGGTCAGGAGTTTGAGACCAGCCTGGCCAATATGGTGAAACCCTGTCTCTATTAAAAATACAAATATTAGCCCAGCGTGGTGGCACATGCCTGTAGTCCTAGCTACTCGGGAGGCTGAGGCAGAAGAATTGCTTGAACCCAAGAGGCAGAAGTTGCAGTGAGCTGAGATCACGCCACTGCACTCCAGCCCTGGTGACAGAGTAAGACTCTGTCACAAAAAGAAAAAGGAAGGGGGAAGGTCTAGGAAAAGTCTGGTCATTAAGCCTTCAGGACCACAGCTCCTGAACCATCCCAAAAGAATGTGCTTTGAGAGCCCACACAAGCCAGGTCCCTTTGCTCATCTCCTTGACAAGTGGGTTCCTTCAGCTGCCTCCATTTCAGCCGTACTCACATCATCTACTTGGCAATGATAGCCAAAGCTAATCAGTAAGCCTCCTTCTGGAACATTCCTGCCCCAATTCTAACTAGCAACTAGGCTGGACAAGCAGGAGTGAGTGGGGCAGGTGCTGGCAGAGAATGAAAAGTAAGACCGCAGGAAGAAAGGGGAATTGTGGTGATTGTTAGTTACTACGTAACAAGCAATGCCAGCCCTCTAAGTTATTAAATTTAATCCAAATGGAAACTCGTGAAGCATATATCGTCATCCTTATTTCAGAAGGGGAAACGGTATCCCAGAGGGGAGGGGCCATGCGCAAAATCAGACTGAGCAGCAGGGAGACGAAGTAAAATGTAGGATCCTGAAGAGGAAAAGAAGATTGAACAAAAAAAGAGAAAAACTTCCACAGTGCGAAAGCACTGGTGGAGCTACACACCTGGCCTGAGGGGTTGGTGTGAAAGTTGATCTATCTCGATTCATAAGATGGGATATTGTTAGGGTAGCCCCAGGTAGCCACTGCTCTGCAGCCATTCTTTCCCAAGCTAGGGGACCGTTGCTGCCTTGCTCGGAGTGCCTCCTGCTGTCATCTGGGGAAACTGCAGCAAGGGAAGCTACGCAACAGGGGTTGGGAGAAAGCGAGCCAGTTCTGCTTGTAGCTGTCTGCACCCGAGGCACGGACAGGAAACTCTCCAGCCCGGCAGTTCTCCTGACTACAGGCTGTTCAGTCCCCTCTTGGAGCTCTGGGTTGCATTTGAGGGCCTACCTTTTTTTTTGAGAAGGAGTCAGAGAAGACGCAGGAAGGAGATGGCTGGAATGTCATGCCCTAACTAGCCACTGCTAGACCTTATTCAGGCTTCTGAACAGAGGCAAGACCTTAAGGCAGAAGGCATTTGGGTGCCATGACCCCTGATCCTAAGCTTAGAAGTCAGAGCCTGCATCTAGAGTCACCTGCCTCACCAGGGCCTGAAGGAGGGAGGGCATTTCTGCCTCCCCTTCAAAGCCAAAGGCAATACAGGCTGTTCTGTCTTCCCAGAATGGTTGCAGTCCTGTCCCTCCTGAGAAACAATGGATGAGGGAGGGGCTGACCCTTTATGGATATCTGGGATGGGGACATTTCCTTATCACAGCATGGGCTACCTGTTGCTTCCATCTGCTTGGCAGAATCTGGTACATTCCCCTCACCCCAGAGAAAGTGTTTTCTTAAGACCACAGAGGGTGGTTCTGGGGGGCAGGAGGAAGGGGCACAGATAGGTGAAGACAGTAACCTCAGGAGACGCTGCGAGGCTTTTCTGAGTGAACACTTCCAAGCCTGTGGCTGCTCCAGGCTCAGGTACCAAGTCCTGCTGAGAGATGTCCTGGGTCCTCTGGGACTGCAGGGGAGGCCCAGAGCCAGAGGAAAGGGAAAGAGGGAGGAAGGGAAGAAGCAGAGACAGAGACAGGAAAAGAGGGAGAGAGAAAAAGTAGGAGAGACACATACACACACACGAAGTCCATAAACAGCCCAGCTTTTTAAGTCCCACATCTATAGGATTAGTGGATTAGGTCAGGGAGTAGCCACTGTGTGGGGCGAGCTAGGGAGGGACTACCCTTCTGAGCCACTTGCGGGAGGGAGGCCCACAGTCAGCCCCAGGGCCCTTCTCCCGTGGCCTGCCCACTCTCATTCAGAGATGCTGGGGCCATACCATTCAGACGCTGGTTCCAGCTCTTCCCTGGATGTCTTTGGCTTAGGCTATGGTTCAAGCCTGCAGCATGGATTACAGCCCCCTTTAAACATTCAAACCTGGGTTTGGCAAAAAAGTTCCCACTGTTTTCCCCTTTGCCCAGTTGGGGCCCAACAATATATGAGGAAGCTGCTAGGAATTCTGGATGATACAGGCATCTGTAGGACACTCCCCACAAGGCTGGTTTTTGGATCAGGGATTCTAGTCACCATCAGCAATAGCCCCATGACCACCCAGCACCTTCCAGTTGAGAAAGTGCTTTTATATTCATTATTTCTATGTTCCCAACTACCCTATGGAATGACGATTCTGGTCCCCCTACAGATGGACTAGGCAATGAGGCTCAGAAAGGGGAAATTACTCGCCCAAGGACCCAGTCAATCCTTGTCTATGACACCTCCCCATCTCCCCAATCTTCAAAGGCCCCTAAATGTCAAGGGGGCCTGTAAGCCAGTTTCTGGATGGATGGTCCATAGCTCCAGGGTGAGCTCCTGGACCATAGTTCTTTCAGACAGTATACAGTACTTCTTGGGGCTGGGGGAGGGGCTGGGAGTTGAACAGATGCTACCTTTTATCGACTCATCTTCTAGCAGTTCTAGCTATCACCAGCAGGTGGGGCATACCCGACACCAGGCTACACTGAAACACTCCAGAGCTCTAGACTCCACTCCCCAGGGCTCATCCTCCCTTTCTCTTCTGGAGTCTCACTCTTTCAGCAGCCTCTGCATCCCACCTCACCCATAGCCAGGCCAAGACTGGCCAGCCCACAACAGGATTGATTAGAGGCCATGCTGAAGGGCAGGAGGGGCTGCTGTTCACTGGACCACCAGACCAGACCCCCACCACCCAGTCCAGAGTCTTGGTTGTGCCAGAGGCAGAGGCCCTTCATGGACCAAGAGATCTGCCCTTCTTCCATGGCACCAGACTTAAAATCACCAACGAGGAAGCCACCACAGTAGCTGTCTCTGGACTCCTGCCTTACTAGACAAAGACCTCTGTTATCTGGCAGGTTCGGGCCATGAGTAGTACTGATCCAGTCAAATGATCTGCTAATTAGATCATGGCTGCATCACCAATTTTTAAAGCATTAGAGGGCAGCACACACACAATTGACTCTCTACCTGGGTCTTTATAAGATTTGGTCTTGCTCCGAGGCAGCTGTGATTGAATAGCAACTACAATAGCCTGGGTCACAAGAAAATTGGGTTCTGGCTCCTCTTCCATCAGCTATGACACTGAACAAGTCCTTCCTCTTTCTGAGTCTCAGTGCCCCTGTCTGTAAAATGAAGGTTCTGAGCAGGTTCCCAAGGTCCTTCCAACTTTTACTTTATTGAGAAAGAGAGATTTTATTTGTTAAAGAAAAGTCATCTGTGAATGCCTCTAGTTAAGTTAGTATGCTTGACTTTAACCCTTTGGGTTGAAACACGCTTTCTTTATCCTGATTTGAAGTCAACCTCCTCTGTGGAAGAGTCTGGAACTCTCAAGTGAAGCAATAACTTACACTAAGCATTGAGGTACTCTGCTGGTCCTTCCTACACGCGTTATCCATCCCCACGAAGTAGGTGCTTTGATTATCTCTACCCAGCGTGTCTCAGAGATGTTAAGTAACAAGCCCAAAGCCAACCAGCTAGCAAGCAGCAGAGCCGGAATTCGAACCCAGGCAGTATAAGTCTACATCACAATCGGGTTTGAGACCGGTAAGCAACAGCTCTAGGGAGAAAATACTTAAGTCTAAACTGGGGTAAAGATCGCCAAGATTTGGCGAGGGCTAAAAATACTGACCTGAGAATCTAAATGTAGAGCTTCCCCAAATCCTAACTTCATCTCTTTCTCAAACAAGAAAACACCCCACACTTTCCACTAGGAAAGGCAGTTCATGTGGGATCCTTTCCTGAAGCCTCAGAAGAAGGTCTAATTTCTGGGAAGAGCCCGTTCCCCTCCAGTGGGATCTGAAGCCCCTTCCACAAGGGACCACTCCCCGATCTGTGTTTTCACAATAGGCACAACAGGGTCTGGTTCTGGATGGAGCTTTTGGGATTCTCAAAACGTGTGCATGAAAACCCCTGCAGCACTTGTTCAAATGGCGGTGCCAGCACTGAATCCAAATACCCAATTCAGTAGGTATGGGCTGGGGTCCTGAAACCTGCATTTCTAACAAGCACCCCTTCCCCATTACGCTCTGGCTGATGGAAGGGGAGTATGCCAAGCTATCATGAGTCTTGAGTTTTTCATGTTTCAAGTTGGTCTCCAGGACCCAGATTTAGTGACTTTATCTCCCTCAGCCTCATCTACTACCCTCTCCATCCTCACCAGTCCCTAAAGCAGCAATGGGGGAAGCATACTGATGTGGAGGATCAGCATAAGTCAGTAGGTAAGTCACCCCAATGCCTCTTTACCCAAGGCCCCTATCCAGGGGTTCAGGGCAACACCTACCTCATTGGCTTTCTCGGGGGTGCCTTTGGGGGAGGGGGAGGCTGGTGAAGAGGGCAGCCTGCGCTCCCGTTCCCAGTCTCGATCCCGGTGGATGAGTTTGCTGTTGGGCTCCTTCAGGGTCCTCTTGAGTTCATTGATGCTGGCCTGGTGCTTCAGCAAGACATCCTCTGGCTTGTCTAAGAACTAGGGACAGATGGAGACGGTGGTGGTGTTAGGGGAACGGCTCCAAGTAGGGGATGCAGGGTGCAGGGGTGATGGCGGCAGTCATCATGACCACCCTCCACCAGCAATGTGGTTCCCACTCTGGCCTGTGTCACCCTCATGGCAGCCCCAGAGGCCAACCAGGGCAAGGACAACCATGCCAACAGGTGCACAGCCCAAGGCACAGAGCACTGCAAATGAAGAACAGGAGACGTCTAGTCAAGCCAACTTCGCTTCTTCCCTGCCTGGCTCCAGAGCCTCTGAACACCGAACTCTACCCAAAGCCCACAGGTCTGGGTGGTTCCCTTTGGTGCTACAAGCCCAGGCTTAGTCACAGAGGAGACTTCTCCCTGGTTACAACCAAGGCAAAGCTGGCGGTAACTGCCAGAGAGCTGTAAGAACTCACTAACCCTGTTCACTGGGCTGCTCTGGGTTGTTCAGGGGCCTCCTAGATCCCTCCTGGATCCCAGTGTCCACTTTCTGGTCAGGACTGGGGCCACTGTACTTAATAGGATGTCCAGTCTTGGCCCCTCCCAGCCCAACATGCGTAACTGCTCGGGCCCTGGGGAGGCCACAGTACAGATCCTCCTCAGGCCAGGGACATTCAGGAGAATGGCCAATCTCCCATGCCAGGGAACAGGGGCAGGAACAGATTGTGTCCAGTCTCCTCTGTGATGGGTCACTACCTTCCCCAACCACCCGGACCTTCCAGATACCTTTCAGGTACTGACTCACCAATAGCAGACAGGGTGAGATACAGCCAGATAGAGAAACTAGGATGCTGTGGAGTGTTCAGGAAGAAGAGTGGTTAAGTCCCAAGGCTGGGCACAGGAATTGAGCCAGGTACAGCTGGAGTTATAGGATTATAACTATATAGGGTAGTGTTACCCATTAAACTACCAAGTCTGGCTGGGCGCGGTGGCTCACGCCCGTAATCCCAGCACTTTGGGAGGTCGAGGCAGGTGGATCACCTGAGGTTGGGAGTTCAAGACTAGCCTGACCAACATGGAGAAAACTCGTCTCTACTAAAAATACAAAAAATGAGCTGAGTGTGGTGACACATGCCTGTAATCCCAGCTATTCGGGAGGCTGAGGTAGGAGAATCGCTTGAACCTGGGAGGCGGAGGTTGTGGTGAGCCAAGATCACCACGTAAACTCCAGCCTGGGTGACAAGAGTGAAACTCCATCTCAAAAAAAAAAAAAAAAAAAAAAAACTGCTACCAAGTCTGAGCTCAAGCCAGTGCAGCATGACAGAGTCATCTCCTTAGGTCAACAGAGGACGTGCTTTTAACAGGAGCTGGCAGGGACCTGCAAAAGCTGTTTATCTGCCTACTTCTGGGGCAAAGTGGTGGCTGGCAGCCTAAGGACCATTATCTGCAAGGCTGTTTAAAAATTCATGTTTTCTCAATTCAGGATAAGAAATGCACAATCTCAGCCTACTAAAGTCAGATCAGGTGATTCTGAAAGAACCACTGGAAGGTAAGCTTACCCTTGGACAAAGCTAGAATCTTCCCCTGGTCTCATCACTGGTACCCAAGGATCCACTATGGTTGACTCTCAGTGTCCCTTGGGAAGGAAACCAACCTAGTGAAGGCCCTGCTTTCCCTCCAGACATGTCTGTTCCTCAGGCATCTCTTCCCAAGCCGAGCTGTCCTTGGGACAATGGCTGCCTGACAGGTCACACCTGATGGCGTTTGCACAGGGAGGGGGCTTGGGCTGCAATGAGTAGTGAGTCCCAACCTGAGATATAGCTTGTTATCTTCCATCCCAACCTGCCCCACAGCCTCTGTGGGTGCGCTGTGCTCCTGAAGGCTATGGGGAACAGTGGGATCCCGGGATCCTTCAAGGTTAAGGGCATTGGAGAAACCTAGTCTGAACACTTCGCTGTGAAGACAGGGAACTGGGGCCTGAGGGGACTTTTCCAAGACGTTCAAAGAGCTGGGGGCAGAAGTGGGGTTGAAACCCAGATCTCAGGACTCCAAGGCCAGGCTCTTATGTCCCAGCCTCTGGCCCTTTCCTTTGGCAGCCCAAGAATAAACCCATTTCTCCTGCAGCTAAAGTTCAAATGAAGAGTTAGTGACTGTGTGAGAGGTAATAAGTGGTTAACACAGGAGGAACAATTTGGGGGAAACAACAAATAGGAAGGAGACAAGGAAAGGAGGAGAGAAGGAGGAGGTTTTTGCCAGAGCTGAGCAGTGGGCCCTGCCTGGGGAAGGTGTGGGACTGGAGTTGGCGCAGATGCAGATAGATGTGCTCTGAGGTGCCTCCCTCCCCACCCCAATCCCCACTCCCACATCTGGTAGCCAGTAGATACAAAAAGAAGCTTGGGGTGAGGACACAGGGGAGAAAGATGAGATGGAGGTGGGACCAAACAGTGCTGTGGGGTAGGAGATGAATCTAGGGGAGGGGTGGGTGAGGGAGATGAGCTAAATGAAAGTGCAGAATGGCCTGGAAGAGCTGATGGTACAGGAGGGATGGTCAGCAGGTGAGCTGCAAGTATGGAGGACCAGGCGAGCTGGAGAAAGCTGAGGAAGGCGGGAGAGACAGCCGATTGGCCAGGAGAGTCTAAGAAGGGAGCGATGAGCTTATGGGGTGGTAGAGTGGGGAACAAGGGCGGCTGCAGAGGGGAATGGCTGGGGAGCAGAGATGAAGTTGCAGCTGGGATGGTACCAGGGAAGTGAGCCTGGGATGGACCTGTGGGATGGTGACAAATGGCTGGGGATGGAAACGGCTGGGTAGGGAGAGACAAGTCCCATGCAGTACCTCCTGCTTGTGTCTCGGCGTGGTTTCCTGCTCCGGCTAGTGGGATGTGGTAGGAGGGAAAGAAAGCAGCAGGGTCAGTAGAGCAGATGGATTACAGATGCCACAATGGACTTGGTCCAGCAAGGAGCCCAGAGCACTCACACTCGACCAAGTGGAGGCCAGGGCAGCTGGGCGGGCCACCAGCAGGGCAGTGAGGTAGTCAGAAGGTGCAGCCGTGAAGCAGGGCACTGTCCCAGGAAGGCAGAAAAGGGAACTAGAGGCCAAGTGGGCAGAGTCACACTCTGCAGACAGGATGTGAGGATGGGGTTTCCTGTCTCTTGCTGTCAGTGGGAACATGTTCAAGGCGCTGTGCTCACAAGGTAGATGGAAAGAAACCTGCTTAACAGCTTAATACAAGAGGAACCTGTGCGTGTGCATGTTTGCACATCTGCGTGCATGGATCTCAGGGTGAGGGATGCAAACATCTGTTACTGAATGCATGTGAGGCTGACGTCATGCACTCCCGCACAAGCGTGTACACACAGATACTGGGAGTGTGTGTGCACCTGAGTGTGGTGTGGGGCAGAAGGAAGGGGACACACTTGTACCTCACACTCATGAGAGCTGTTGGTGACACCTGGTCATGCTCTGAGGGGAAAGAGAGTGGTGCAGATCCAATCCCAGTCAAAGGGGCAAATTAGGAGTGTGCAAAATGAGAATTGAGTCCTCCAGGGGACAGAGTCCCTCTGGAAAAGCAGGGCAAAGTCAGGGAGGGTACAGGGCGGGCAGTTTACCCACCCCCATGCCCACCCCAACCCAGGGAGGGCCAGGTATTGAGCATGACCGAAAGGCAAGGCCCTGCCCATGGTGCACTCCATAGCAAGGGTGCGTGGCTGTGGCTAGGGGCACGTGAAGGCCAAAACCGAGGCTAGACCTCAGGTCAGCCTCCTGATCCCCAGGGCAGAGGGTACAAGAAAGCCAGGCTCCTACCTTTAGCTCCTTGATCTTGGTTGGGGTCCTGACTTCTCCCTCCTCAGCCTCTGACCGTCGCCCCCCAGACTCGCCATCCTCCTCCCGCTTGTCACCTTCAGGCCCTGCATCATGGTTCTCGCTGACTGAGGCTGGGCGGGAGAACTCTGCTGAAGTGGGTGGAGATGATGGGGCAACCATGTGAGGCCCCTCCCAGAGAATGAAGAGAGAACCAGCCCGGCCCTGCCCAACCACGCGTGGAGTGGAGCCAACTCCTCCACACCCCTGACCCGTTGCCCAGAGGGGTGAAGTAGACTTCTGGTCACATGGTCAGGGAGTGGCAGAGCTGCCTCTCAGCCCAGGACTCCTTCCTGGTTTCTACAGCCCTAGAGCCTGGGTTCAAATCTCAACGTCTCTTCTTGATTGTGTGACCTTGTGTAAGTTACACAGTCTCTCTGGGGTCTTCATTTCCTCATCTAAAAGCAGTGCCTGCTTCAGAAAGCGGAGGTGAGGAATGAACAACCTAACGTATGTAAGTATTTATGGAAGAGTGGCTGGCACAGAGTGAGTCTTCCATCAGCGGCGGCCCATAAATACTGCTGTTTTGGTTGTGGTGGCTGTGGCAGGAAACTCACTTGTTCATCATTTAGCAACACACAAATATTGTGAGATTAGCTTTACTAGTGAAAGCTATAGTCTAAAGCTTGCAACTGATGTACCTTCTTTATAAATTAGGGAGAATTCAGGGGCACCCCTGCAATAACTGCCTTCTCACTCACTGGTATTCCAAACTGCTTTTCTGAATAGGAATGGAGGGGTAGAATTACAGAGTTCTCCACAGGCATTGGGCATAATCCGACTATGCCCAACCATGGATTGGGTCTTGGTGGAAAATAGGCTGAAAAACACAGGTTTAAAATAACCAGAGCTCAGATTATCCTTGGGGTTGGCCTAGATTTTAAAAAGAGGATAATTATCCTTTCTATTCATATGCACTCCCTTTGCAAAGTACCCATTTATGCATACATTTCCTTTGATTTACACAGTACCCTGTGTTGATGGCTGGAATGGGAATGACTTATCCCAATTTTACAGAGGATAACTGAAGATGTCAAGGAAGAAAATATCCCACTGGTGACCCTTTGGTGAGTTGCAACAAGGACCAAGGCCTCCTGGCTTAGAGTCCAAGCTTCTGTTCCTTTCCAATAAGCTTCACCAGCTCTGGGCTAACCTCGGCTACCTGCCAGAATCTGGGCTTCATCTGGCCCCTGACATGTAATGGAAGTAACAGAGGAGGGACCTTTCCCTTTGCATAAACCCCAGTTGTCAGTCCTTTGTCTACCCAAGGAGAAGAAGGAGCTTCTTCAGCCTCAGATGAACCCTTGCACAACTACACATCTTTTAAACATGCACAGGTGTCCTGAGACGGGTCTCATTTTCATATACCAGAAAAAGCATCAGACTTTCTTGATCACTTAGCAAACTCCTAGGTATCCCTCAAAACCCTGCCCAGGTGGCACCCTTTCTGCAGAGCCCTTTCTGCCCCTCCTAGACTTAATTCCTCCCTCCTCAAGGCTGCTCTGCATTCTGCACATGCTTCTCCCATTGCTTGAACCACATCAAAATGCTTACAACCTGCATTCTATGAGCTCCCCAAAGGAAAGGGCCAAATCTATTCACTCTAAATACTATACCCAGGACCCAATACAAGGCCTGGCACACATGTAACACTCAGAAAATACAAGTAGAACTAACTTGCTTGGAGGCCTGCCCCAAGGTATTCTGGGAGTATCCATGGTTTCCCCACCCAAGTCCCCACTTCTCACCTTTAAGCCACTCTGTACAAATCTAAAAACAATAATAATGGGTACAATTTCTTAAGGTGCTACTATATGCCATGGAATGTTTTCTAGGCATGATCTCACTTAGTTTTGCCTAGAACACAGCAAAGTATGTACTAATTATTTCATAGAAGAGGAAACAGCTTGCTTATGGTCACACACCCGATCACTCAGGTATTTATGAGCCACTTCCTGTATCCAGAGAACAGCTGTTGACTGTCAAGGCTGAAATTTGAATTCAGATCTGCATAATCCTGAATCTCCCCAGTGCCCCCTGTGACTTGTGAACATCACCCACAAACTCTAGTATGTACATCCTGGGCAGAGACTTGGGCCCTGAAGAGTGCCGATTTCATAGGTCTGGGGCAGAACAGGGAATTTTCATGTTTAACGATGTCAAAGGTGACTCTGATGAGCCGTGGTCTGTGCAGCACATGTAAAGCCCCGTCTGCTTGCCACAGGACTACATAGGACCAGTTTTCACTGATGTTAAAGGCAGCCATCAGTCCAACAGAAATGGGGACAGTGGAGAGTGCCATGTGGTTAGATTGTCAATCAGCCCAGAGCCCAGTAGAACCAAAAGACTGATCAGGAACTATGCCCTGGTCTCCCAGCAGATAAGGCATCATCAGCTCCACACTGCACTCACAAGACACCATTCTCCTAATACGATGACGATGCTAAGCTTTTTGTGGATTGCTAAGCTTTTTGGATAGGTGGTCTAAAACCACATGGCTGAACCTGGGTCCCCAAAGGACCACAACTCAGGGAAGCTGTGGGAAATCCAGAGGGTGGTAGTGTCACATCCCAAGTGGGAGTGAGCTGTAGATTTGGACTAAGCCACCAAGAGCTGCCCAGGGACAGCATTTGTCTCGAGGGGCCAGCCTGGTGCAGATGAACTTGGGATGCATCTACCACTTTCCTGCAGAACCCGGCATGTCCACTCAACCACTTCCCTCTAAGGACCGTTCCCCTCAAGCCCCCCGATTTGGGCCATACCTCCATCAAGGCTGCGGGACATGGTGTACCGTTTGCTGGAAGAACGTTCAAAGAAGGGCGCAGGCCGGTCAATGAGGGCGCTGGCCTGACGGGTCTGTGCCTGGGTCCTCCCACTATACCGGAACTTGGAGCCCATCACCAGGAAGCCCTTGGGTGGAGGCTCAGGGGACACCAGCCTGCAGTAGAGGGATGGAGGGGAGGAGGGGGGATCAGACCTGCATTCCAGGCCCAAGGTTAGACCACAGCTGGACTTCCATCCCACCAACTGTGACAACTCAAAGTGGTCCAGGAAGAGAGAGACCTGGGGAAAGGGAGGAGGACTTTCCTAGAGTTCTCACTAACTCCTCCCCCTGCTCCCCTTCCCCCTCCCCTCCATACACATGGCCTCTGCCCCATCCCCATATCCCCATCCAAGGTCAGGCTCACCGGAAGAATGTGTGATGCTCAATGCAGACCTTCCACAGTCTCTTGGCTGACCGGTGATTTGGGAGCTTAAAGCCGATTGTGCTCTCAAATTGTTCATACTGGAAAACCAAGAAGAGCAGGTTAGAGGCGGAGCCTGAGCCCACTCTCACCACTAGCCCATTTTTTGTTTTTTATTTTATTTACTGAATGTTTTTTGAGACACAGGGTCTTGATCATTTGCCCAGGCTGGAGTGTGGTGGTGTAATCATAGCTCACTGTAACCTGAACTCCTGGGCTCAAGGGATCCTCCTGCCTCCCAAGCAGCTGGAACTACAGTCACATGACACCATGTGGCTAATTTTTTTTTGTAGAGAATGGGTCTCACTATGTTGCCTAGGCTGGTCTCCAACTCCTGGGCTCAAGCCATCCTCCCACCTCAGCCTCCTGAAGTGCTGGGATCACAGATGTGAGTAAAATCCTTTCTGAGTTCTTCTCAGGCATCTGAAACTTTGACCTGTTCATTCACTGAATCAGTAACGGTGACTGAGCCCTTATTCTCTGATGGGTCCAGTGCTACACATTAGAAACATGTGGAGATCAAGACAGAAGACTCTAGTGGCGGAAGGGGGCCTCCGATAATACATAAGCAAACAAGATAATTGCAGAGACTGATCAGGGCTACAGGGGAAGGGAGATGTGTGGTGTGGCAGAACTGGGAAGGCGTCGGGGCTGCTGCCATTTAAAGAAGAGCAGGGGATGCTCTCTAGACAGGTGGTCTTGAGCTGACAGTTAAAGAATGAAAAGGAACCAGCTACGTGAGAAGCAGGAGATGGGGAGACACTTTCAGGTAGAGGAAACACCACATACAAAGCACTCAGGCAGGAAAGAGCTTGACTTATTCAAAGATCTCAAGGCCAAAGGGACTAAAGCACCTTGGGCATGGGGCACTGTGGCCAGGGATGGGTGGAAGTGGTGGGTGGCCGTGGAAGGAGTTTGGACCTTAGCCCAAGAGCTAAAGAGAGTTCCTGAAAGGTGTAAGTAAGGGTGTGAATGGGAAGGGAGAGTGAGCTTGCCATGATCTGATTTAGGAGACTTTTAAGATCTCTCTTGCAGCTGCGAGGAAAATGGCCTGGAGAGCCCCAGAGGCCAGGGAGGGCAGTGAGAAGGCCCTTGTAGGCGCAGTCACAAGACGGAGGCTGCTGGAGGTGGGTGTGGTGGAGAGGAGGAGAAGCAGATGGGTTCATGTGTGTTCTATAGGTACAACCAAATGGGCTTTTTGATGGGTGAGATGTGGGGATTGAAGGAAAAGAGGTGTAGACATATACATGTTTGCATTTGTGGGTACTATGTGTGTAGCCAAGTCTATGTATCTTAAAATGTGTACAAACTTCCATACTTACAGCATGTAAGTAAATACACAAACTTTGCACAGACATGTATTCATTTATCTGTGTGACCTGAATGCATACCATACTTACAACATGTAAGTAAATACACAAACTTTGCACAGACATGTATTCATTTATCTGTGTGACCTGAATGCATACCATACTTACAGCATGTAAGTAAATACACAAACTTTACACAGACATGTATTCATTTATCTGTGTGACCTGAATGCATACCATACTTACAACATGTAAGTAAATACACAAACTTTGCACAGACATGTATTCATTTATCTGTATGACCTGAATGCATACCATACTTACAACATGTAAGTAAATACACAAACTTTGCACAGACATGTATTCATTTATCTGTGTGACCTGAATGCATACCATACTTACAGCATGTAAGTAAATACACAAACTTTGCACAGACATGTATTCATTTATCTGTGTGACCTGAATGCATACCATACTTACAGCATGTAAGTAAATACACAAACTTTGCACAGACATGTATTCATTTATCTGTGTGACCTGAATGCATACCATACTTACAACATGTAAGTAAATACACAAACTTTGCACAGACATGTATTCATTTATCTGTGTGACCTGAATGCATACCATACTTACAGCATGTAAGTAAATACACAAACTTTACACAGACATGTATTCATTTATCTGTGTGACCTGAATGCATACCATACTTACAACATGTAAGTAAATGCACAAACTTTGCCTCGAACTCCTGACCTCAGGCGATCTGCACACCTTGGCCCTCCAAAGTGCTGGGATTACAGGTGCGAGCCATCATGCCCAGCCGTATGTGGTTATACTTTTATTTAGGCTCCTCTCTCTCTCTATCTCTGTCTCTATCTCTCTCTCTCTCTGTCTTTATTTAGGCTCCTCTCTCTCTCTCTCTCTCTCTCTCTCTGTGTGTGTGTGTGTGTGTGTGTGTGTGCTAGCATGCACATACCTAAGGTGTGAAGTCTATGTAGTGAGCCACAGAAAAAGAAGGACTTCCCCCTACTCAGAACCCCAGAACTCCCTTCGACGCATCCTGGGTAGGAAATACCCAGGCCATCTGCCAGGGTCCACTCTGTTCTACTTGGTTCCAGTGCAGAGGTGGGTTTCCCAAGGCAGGCTCACCTCCCCAGGCCGGATCTTGATATAGAAGTTACTCCTCTTGTAGGAGATCTTGAGGATCTTGGGCCAGGCAAAGCGATTGATTCTCAGCCGGTCCCGGTAGATGAGCAGGCCATTGGCACAGACACCTAACATGATGTCGATGCCCTCAGAGTCCTGCATGAGAAGAGACCATGGGAGAGGAGGCCCAGGGCCATGCCTGGAAATGGCCTGCTACCCACCCCAAAAACTCTGCCCTGTGCTCTGCCTGTAACGAGCTCTCAGGAACAGGGCTACAGCCTCTATGCTGGAGTCCCACTGACCAATCCCTCCCACAGTCATTCAGTCATTCATGCATCCATTTAGGTATTTTTTGTTTTTGTTTTTTGAGTTTCACTCTTGTTGCCCAGGCTGGAGTGCAGTGGTGCAATCTCGGCTCACTCAACCTCCACCTCATGGGTTCAAGCGATTCTCCTGCCTCAGTCGCCCGAGTAGCTGAGATTACAGGCATGTGCCACCATGCCTGAATAATTTTGTATTTTTAGTAGAGATGGGGTTTCTCCATATTGGTCAGGCTGGTCTCAAACTCCTGATCTCAGGTGATCTGCCCTCCTCAGCCTCCCGAAGTGCTGGGATGACAGGTGTGAGACACCACACCTGGCCCCCATTTAGGTATTTATTCACCCACTCACTTGTTCCATCATTTGCTCTGCCAATCATTCCATCATTCATTCACCCAGCAAACATTTAGTGGCACACGCTTGGGTGCCAGGCTATGTACCATGTGCTGGGGATACAGAAATGAACTAAGGCCTATGTCTTTCCCTCATAATGCTCCCAATCTAGCAGTGGCTCAAACAGGTTCATAAATAAAATACATGTAGAAAATGATAAAGTTCATGAGAAAATAAAAGGTTATGGAACTTTGAGGAAGAAGAATGAGAACAGGAAAGGTTTCAAGTTGGAGGTAACACAGGTTCTGACACACCAAGCCCTAGGGAAAAGCCGGATAGTCTTTCGGGGTCACCACCCAGACACGAGGAGAACCCAGGAAGCCGGTGGTACCTTGGCATGGTGCAGGTCTACTCCGTACATGGAAAGCTTCTTGGCATTCTCTAAGAAGTGGATTTCTGCTTCTCCTGGGGTCATCCCCCTGAGGGAAAGAAAGCAGTAACAGGTGACCATGGGAAAGGCCCAGACTTGAGTCCTGCTGGCTGAAGGTGGCCACCATCAGAACTCATGATTCCAGCAAGTCTAATGTGCTGAGCCTCACCCTAATCCTTTCCCTCTGCCCTCAGAGCAGGAGAGTGTACCCCAACTTCCACTTCAGCCCACCCAACCCCCATCTTCTGCCAAAGCTCAAGTCCAGTCTTGTTAGTCCAGGGAGCATACAAGGGCTGGGCTGGGAGTCAGGATTTTTGCCTCATTCTGCCATGGAGTTGACTGTGAGCTATAAATTCTACTTTTCCATGACTGTAAAACCATTGTTAAGGACACTGTTCATTATAACCACCCAGGGGCTCCTAAATTATTACCCACATAAGATATTTCTTGCAGAATTTAGTATCGGAAGCCACTTAATCTCTCTTAAGGAACAGATGCACATTCTCCTTTCCAAAAAGAAGAATTATGTAATTAATCAAGTTCCTTCTTTGCTTTGGCTGCCAGGAAACTTGGACATTTTACATTTAGTCACAGCAAACATCTATTGAGTACTATGTGCTGGTTACTGCTTTAAGCACTTTACATGGATTAACTCATTGAATCCTCATAACAACTCTGCAAAGTAGGTATTATTACTATTCTCATTTTACAGATGAGAAAACTGGCACAGAGACGTTGAGTGACTTGTCCAAGGCCACACTGCTATTAAGGAGAAGAGTCAGGATTTGAATCTAGACCATGTGACTCCAGAGTTTGAGCTCCTAATCACTTCGTGACATGCCTGGTATACCCTCCAGGCCTGTTTCCTGTGACCTGTCTACCTCTGGGCTGCTGTATGGGATACTTGGACACTAGATGTCAGTATGCTTTAGGTCCAAAGAGCTATAGGGACAGCCATGAGTATTTCTCCAGCCCATATCAACCTGAACATCTTTCTCTGAATTATTATGACTTACAAATCCTAAGATGTCTTGCTATCTAGGACAGGGACGATAGCAAAATAGATGGCAAGCAAGCCACTACCCCCTATTCCTATGCCCAGGTGGTAGGTACATTGCTAACCTGGGCATTGTAGGGAATCAGGGTCCTACTCAACACAACACCACAGCAGTCATTATTAACCAAGTAGAGTTACTGTGCGACTCTCAGAGACAGCATTTGCCACCCTTGACCTAGCATTCATCACACCCCAGCAGGCTCTTCCTCGTGTACATAACCCCTCCACATCTGGCCCTATCCCTCCTCTCCAGAGGAAGCCCACAGGACACAAGCCTCCTAATTCCCTCTATCCTCAATAGGAATGAGATAATATCACCATACTCCTTTCCCTGGGCACGGCACTTTACAGCTTATAATGCACTTTCATATTATTAATTACATTGTGTTCCCATAACAATCCTGGACTTACAGCCCCAAATACTTCCAGCTTAAAAGAACCCTAGAAATCATTTAGTTCCGACGGTTCCTCTCCAGGGAAGCCCGTACAGAAGAAATGGCAAAGGGGAGTATCTGGGTTGTTACAATGACCGAGAAGGTGTTATGGGCATTTACTGGATCCCAGGGATGCTGAGCATTCCACACAATGAATTCCCCTGCCCCAAATGCCAACAGTTGAGAGACACTGATAATCTAACTTCGTCAGCCTACAATCACACTAGTTCATTACCATCCAACTGCTGGAAGGAGTACCTTTCCCTGCACAATCAACTATTCAACCCCTCGATCCACAGACAGCAACACGAATAGCCAACGTGCAGTGTGCCTTTAATATGTGCTGTCGCCAGGCACGATGGCTCACGCCTGTAATCCCAGCACGTCGGGAGGCTGAGGCAGGCGGATCACAAGGTCAAGAGATTGAGACCATCCTGGCCAACATGGTGAAAACCCGTCTCTACTAAAATACAAAAAATTAGCTGGGCATGGTGGCACACGCCTATAGTTCCAACTACTTGGAGGCTGAGGCAGGAGAATTGCTTGAAGCCAGGAGGCGGAGGTTGCAGTGAGCAGAGATCGTGCCACTACACTCCAGCCTGGTGCCTGGTGACAGAGCGAGACTGTCTCAAAAAAAAAAACAGTGCTACAACAATCCTACAAGGTGGGTTTCACAGCATCCACCTTGAACAGGTGAGGAAACCAAAGCACAGGAAGTGAAAGACCTTCCCGAAATCCCCTGGTTAGAAAGTGGCGGAGCCAGAATAGAAACCCTAGCAGGCTAGCTTTCAGGTCCAAACTTTTGAACTCTACACCAAGATCTAGGCAACAGGATCTAATAATCACTACTGTGTGTCACTTACTCAGAGACACACAGTAGTGATTATTATCTCCAGTTGGCAGATAAACGGATTCTCAGAGGCCAAGGACAGGGAATTATCACACCTATATAGGAGCTTAAGAAACTTCGGTCCCATAAGGTCATCAAGGCCACACAGTCAGTCACTATCATTCCTATTTGCAGAGATGATTTGCTCTCAGCTAGACCTCGAGTAGAGGCAGAGCCAAGTGGGGTACAAACAGCACAGCTTGCAGTGGCTTAGGACATTCAAACCTACAAGGAGGGCTCACACTGGCTAAGGAGTCACGGAAGGCCCTGGCTGGCACCCTCTTACCTGTATGTCTTATGCAGCTCCATGATCCTCTCCTCCAGCTCCCGGGTCTGGTTAGGGGCGAAGCGGAGCTCGCTAACGTAGTTGCCCACATGCTCCTCGGCATCATAGTCGCCCAGCTCAGCCTGTACAGCGTAGGAGCCCAGCAGGGCATGTGTGACAAAGGAGCAGGGCAGCCTGCCTGTGATGATGTCTGCTCGCAGCTGCAGGCACAGGTAGTATCTGGAGATAGGGGAGAGCCAGCATGGGCACAGGGCCCTACTCCTCCCTAGATCCCCCAAGCACAGCTGTCCATCAGAACCAAACAGAACACAGGTCAGCAGAAAATAATGTTTGTAGACACTGGCGCTTCATATGTTGATGATCTGGGTATGTCTCATGAGATAGTTTTGCAACATTTCACATGACTTTAAGCATTTTTCTGTATTTCTAAATTTGAGGGGTTTGTTTTCTATTATGAGAGCATTTTCAATTTCTAATTCAATTTCAAGCTAAATAGGACTACTTTGCTGGTTTGGCCATCACAAAATGTGGTGTAGTTTTAATTATACAAGCAATATACTGTATTCATATTGTAGAGGAAAAATGCACATGTTAGCGGTGACTCTATTTCCTCTTGATGACTCTCATTTGGTTTCCAGAGTTATCGAGTGGTGTTCTAGACATTTCCTCTCCTTGGACATACAGAAATGTATGTGGTTTTGATCTATGGGTGTTTCTTACCTGTAAAGGGCATCAAATGCTACCTCTAATTCTAACATCTCACTTTTCATACCCAGGCCTTAGAGCCTTTCCATGTCAGCACATGTCACTCTACCCCACTCTTTTTAACTTCCATGTTGTATTTCATCGCCCGGATGAACCTGTTTGCCAATGCTTTCCCAAAACTTTCTTATTTTGCCTCCAGCTCTAAGCAAACTGTCTGAAAACAAATTGGTTTAAAGAAACATTTCCAACTATCAGGCCATGATTTTTGTATAACTTCTAGGCATACTTGGATGATTTTACAATTTTAGAACCGTTTAAAAACATTTTTATTGCTTTTTCAGTTACTGTGTATTAAAAAAAAAAGTTTCAGTTCATTTTTAGCCAACGATGCCACCCTGCCCATTTTTGTTATTTTCATCTTTTTTTTCAATTGCCTATTCTTCTTTCTTTTTTTTTTTCTGAAACAGGGTCTCACTCTGTCACCCAAGTTGGAGTGCAGTGGCACAATCTTGGCTCACTGCAGCCTCAGTCTCCCAGTCTCAAGTGATCCTCCCACCTCAGCCACCCAAGTAGCCAGGACTACAAATACACACCACTGTGCCCAACTAATTTTTATATTTTTTTATGGAAACAAGGTTTCACTATGTTTCCCAGACTGGTCTCGAATTCCTGGGCTCAAGCAATCCTCCTGCCATTGTCTCCCAAAGTGCTGGGATTACAGGTGTGAGCGACCACATCTGGCCTTTCTTTTTTTTTTGAGACGGAGTCTCGTTCTGTTGCCCAGGCTGGAGTGCAGTAGTGCAATCTCAGCTCACTAAAACCTCCGTTTCCCAGGTTCAAGTGATTCTCCTGCCTCAGCTCCTGAGTAGCTGAGACTACAGGCACCTGCCCCACACCTGGCTAATTTTTGTATTTTTAGTAGAGACATGGTTTCACCATATTGGCTAGGCTGGTCTTGAACTCCTGACCTTGTGATCTGCCCACCTTGGCCTCCCAAAGTGCTGGGATTACAGGCATGAGCCACAGCACCCAGCCTATCTTAAGTACCTTTTACTTAATATAATTTTTACTACTCTGTGACATTATTTCACAGTCAGAACTGAAGTCCTGGCAAAAAGTATGTGCAGCCTCAGTGTGTGCCCAGGGTCAAGGACTCAGAACCCACAGCAGCTGAGACATCACAAGCACTGAGTAGAGGCTTATGGGCATTCTGTTCAAAAGTCTCAAAATTCAGAAATCACTGCCAAATATTCTGACCAATCTTTCATCTCAATCAATTTGTCATTTTGACCAGTTTATTTCAGGCCTAACTATTTTTGGCAAAATCAGCTGCTATAGCACCCATCTCCTGGGGCCATCTGTGCTAGGCCTAACTTCCTTCCCGGTGTGCCTGGAAGCACAGTGCCCAGGCTATAGCACAAAGAGGGGAGGTATCAGTAGGTAAGACCAGGGGGATGGAGGCTGTGCTGGCCTAACCCACACAGTCCACTTGGGAATGGAGGTTTCAGATCCTGCTGCTGCCACATTATCCCCCACCTGACCTCAGGGCTTGGAACTAGGGCGAATGACACCAAAGCCCAGGCCTGATCTGTTCCAGGAACATCTGTCTTATCTCCCAAGGCCAGAGTCAGCGTCTTGACCTTGATAGATGGCCTGGCAAACAGGCAATCGACATGAAAGTGAAGGAGGGACCCAATGGGAGAGAGAGCCTGGCTTAGGATCCCCTTCCCTGCTGAAGTGGAACTTCCAGCCCATATCTTATGTTGGGGGTATAAGACCCATCACCTGGATGACACAGCCCCAGGATATCATGAAGTGAGACTATCTCTTTAGAAAGGGCTTAAGAGGAGGGCTTCCCCTGTTCTGGTTTCCAGAGATGAGATGACCCCACCGAAGTTCCTATACTGAAGGATGGTTTGCATTCACTTCTAATCTTTAGGCCATGTTATCTACCGGTCCTGAGGCACAAAACTGCATGCACAGTCCACGCTTGCCTTGGCAGCCCAGGCTTTTCTCTGGGGGGAGTCCCAAGCCCCATTTGACTTCTACACATCTGATATGTGAACAGAGTGGCATGCAGACCAAAGTTCCCACGTGCAAAGGCATCCCATTCTACCCTCTCCACATCCCCAACGCTGCAAACTGGTGAGTCACCCAGCACAGCAGCCTTCACACGGGTTTGGTATATCCCACCCAGAGATGGACCATGCCATGTTTTTTAAAGTTTGCATTCATTCCCAACATTTAGAAACTGTTGTTTTTATTCTTTAATCTCTAGTTTCATTTTAACAATCAGGCCCAATTCCTACATGACAGTGATGGCGTGGAGGGGAACAGCAACAGTCTTAGGTGGCTTCTGTCCTCTTAAATCTACAAGGGCCCCACAGCTCCCTGTGATACCTCTTCCTCTGACATCAAGGGTCAGCTGCCACTGACCACTGTGCTTGCAATACTGTGTTTCTTACGATGAGTTGGCTTCCTGTGTTGATGCTGTCTGCCTGACCTCAGTAGGTGCCTGCATTTGCAGCTGCTGTCCAATACTGCTTGTGTCCCCAGGGCCAGGGGCCCTCATCCATTGTCCCACACAGCCAGCATACCTGTCTCTCCCACAACAGCTCTCAAGCTCTCACCTTGTGATGTCTTCTGTCAGCTGGGCAGGATCAGGGGGGTAGAACTTGACTGTGAAGGCAAAATTCCAGGGGCTACCTGAGAGAAGAAGGTGGGAGAGAGATCAGAGAGGCCCTGTCATCCCACTGGGTGGTCCAGATGCACCATCCTATGGGCAGTTTTTCAAAGTCTTCTCCTATCTTTAATCTTAGGACAATCCAATCAGGAAGGCTGGAACATTATTCTCATTTAACACATGAGCAAACTGAGGCCCAGGTTAAGAGACTTGTGAGCTAGCAGTAGGAAGGAAGGAGAAAGGAAGGAAGGAAGGAAGGAAAGAAGGGAGGGAGGGAGGGAGGGAGGGAAAGAAAAGGAAGGAAGGAAGGAAGGAAGGGAGGGAGGGAGGGAGGGAGGGAGGGAGGGAGGGAGGGAGGGAGGGAGGGAGGGAGGGAGGGAAAGAAAGAGAAAGAAAGAAAAGGAAGGAAGGAAAGAAAAGAAGGAAAAAGAAAGAAAGAAAGAAGGAAGGAAGGAAGGAAGAAAAAAGAAAGAAAGAAAGAAAGAAGGAAGGAAGGAAGGAAGGAAGGAAGGAAAAAGAAAGAAAGAAGGAAGGAAGGAAGGAAAGAAAGGAAAGAAAAAGAAAGAAAAGGAAGGAAGGAAAGAAAGGAAAGAAAAAGAAAGAAAAGGAAGGAAGGAAAGAAAGGAAGGAAAAAAAAGAAAGAAAGAAAGAAAGAAAGAAAGAAAGAAAGAAAGAAAGAAAGACAGGAGGGAGGGAGGGAGGGAGGGAGGGAGGGAGGGAGGAAGGAAGGGAGGAAGGCAGGAAGGGAGGAAGGAAGGGAGGAAGGGAGGAAGGGAGGAAGGAAGGGAGGGAGGAAGGAAGGGAGGAAGGAAGGAAGGGAGGAAGGGAGGGAGGGAGGAAGGGAGGGAGGGAGGAAGGGAGGGAGGAAGGGAGGGAGGGAGGAAGGGAGGGAGGAAGGGAGGGAGGGAGGAAGGGAGGGAGGGAGGAAGGAAACTGCCGCTGCTTGCCAGGCACACTGCTCATTACTTGACAAACATGTCTTCAGTAAACTTCACCACAACCCCAAGAGTAAGTCCTATGATTAGTCCCATTTTGCAGACACTGAGGCCCAGGCAGTAAAGCAGTCAGCCCAAGGTCACCCCACTTGGAAGTGGCAATGCCACTAGGCTCCTTGGTCTAAACCCTAGTCTGAGTCACAGGATGTTAGTGATAAGAAAAAAGTCTAGGTAATATCACATTCAACAGGTTTCCTAAATCGGCACTTGTCAGAGCCCTCACTCTGCTACTGTGCATTGCAACTCTCTGAGGGGAACACGCATTCAGGAATTCCCAAAAATGGTTTAATCTGTTGTATCCATTTTTAACAGAGCATCCTGAAAGCTTAATGCTTCTCAGAACACACATTAGAAAACTCTGCCCTGTATCATGTTGACTCCATCTTGGATGACAGGATTAGATTATAAACAAGACCTAAAAGGCAAATATAATGGGCTAAATGTAACAAAGGGATATTTTAGGGGGACGAATGCTAACCTCCACAGTTAGATGTGGGAAACCAGGGGTACACATCTAAGAAGATACACAGGGGAATAAAGGCTGAGGTTATCACCGGAAGCAAGCTCTGCAAGCTTGGAGATGGGGTGGCCACTTGAGAGGGGATGAAGGCGGGCAGGGATGAGGCACTGGACAAAATTGGTCAGACCACACCTAGGACATTTCAGGTTCCAGGATCAAAGAGGCCCCTGACAAAGTGAGAAAGCAAGACCCATCCAGGGCAGGGCTGTGGCCATGGACCGCTGTAGGCCACATTGCCACTACCATCCTTGTCCCTGCAGTAACCACCATCTGCATGATCCAGAGGTCACATCTCAAACTCTTACTCGGTGCCAGTCATTGTGCTTGCTAAGAACTTATGCACATATGTGGCTAAAAAAACCACATAAGGGGTTTGATCTTCATAATCATCCTGAAGCTGACTTTCTTTCTTTCTTTTTTTTGTTTTGAGACAGATCCTCACTCGGTCTCCCACACTAGAGTGCAATAATGAGATCTTTTTTGCTCACTGTTTGCTCACTGTAACCTCCACTTCCCAGATTCAAGGGATTCTCCTGCCTCAGCCTCCTGAGTAGCTGGGATTACACGCATGTGCCACTATGCCTGGCCGATTATTATAATTTTAGTAGAGATGGGATTTCACCCTGTTGGTCAGGCTGGTCTCAAACTCTTGACCTCGTGGTCCACCCACCTCAGCCTCCCAAAGTGCTGGGATTACAGGCGTGAGCTACCGCATCCAGCCCAACTTTCTTTTTTATAGATGAATTCTGAGAGGTTAAGTCACTCTCTCAGAGTGACTAAGTCAGCTAGTCAGTGGTAGAGAATCGGGATCCTAACTGGTCATCTGGCCCCAGAGCCCACGCTTCTGACCACACCGACTTCTTGGAAAAAGCAGCCTCAGGAACTCCTATCTCAGGAATAATAATGGTAATAATCAATAATGATAATAAATAATAGCTGATGCATACTGGATGCTACTGTGTGCAGGCACTGTTCTACATGTAATACTCATTTAATCCTCACAACATTATAAATATAAGTATCCTAGTTACAGAGGAGGAAACCAAGGCACAGAACAGTCAACACCAGAAACAGTGATGGAGTTAACATTCAAATCCAGGTGGGCTGGCCTCAGGGTCTGTCTGCTTAACCATCACACCACATTGCCTCAGGGAAGCAAGAAGAAAGCAGCTACTAAGCACCTACTATGTGCTTGGTGCTGTCCATATATATGTCATTTAACTGTCACCCCCAACTAGTGAGGCAGGAATGACTAATCCACTGGCCAAGGAGAAGCAGGGGCCCAGAGATGTGGAGAACTTGCCCCAGGTACCCTGCTTTGCCCTACCCTGCCCCAGGTGCACTGAGGTTTGGGAGGAGATACACCCAACTCCGAAGCCCAGGCCACAAGGACCAATGGCGCCACCTTCAGAAGGCTGAGGTGCTGTCACAAACAGAGGAAAGAGGGTAACAAATTGCTCCACTGGGGCCCCAGAAGGTAGGATGAGGATGAATGGCTGGAAGTTATAGGGGTAGAGTCAGAGACTGTGGCTCTCCTGGATAAGGCACTTGCTAGGGATCAAGACTATTACTCAGTGACTTGAGATGGCTACAAGGAGTGACATCCACCAGGCCTGGGCTGCAGGCCAGCTCTGGGAGGGATGCTGACACCTGACCATTTGGTTCAGCCGCCTGTCTTTCCCAAGTTCCTGGTCCTAACCAAACACTGCACACTTGACTCCTGTATGTGTTCCGATCCCTTTAGTCATGAGAGGCAGGCCTCCCAGCCAGGTGGGGGCTTCTGGGAGACAGCCTGAAGCCCAGGCGGAGGATCTATCAGCCCCCACGAGGAGTGCGCACTGTCTGTGTGCCTGTCTCTTTGTCTCCAACTGATGGAACCTACAGGAAGAATTCCTCGAGCCCCCTCCTGCAGAGTCAGCTGGCATCGCCGGGGCCAGCTGCCCGCTGTCATGGCAACAGGCTCAGCTACAGCTTTCCAGCCAAGGGACCAGGGAGTCCAGGAGAGACCAACCACAGCCAAGGGGGAGGGGCCCTGGGTGGAGGCATCTCTGCCTCGAGGCTCCAGGTCCCAACCTGCTCAGGCTGGCTTGCTGAGGCCACCTACCTCCCCCTTCTGCCATTTGGGAGCTGCCCCATCCCCTCCCAACATGCTTTCTCTCTCTGGGCCAGAAAGGACAGGCTGTTGGTCTGCTCATCTGCCTTCACCCTAGGCCTTGAAAAGAGCACAGGATGGTATTGGAAGACTAGAGCTCAAGACCTAGCTCAGCCAACATTTGGCTCTGGGACCTTAGGTAATAACTGCCTCTCTCTGAGCCTCTGAGGGAAGGGTCACTGCTTACTGAAGTCTGAGCCGTCCCTGGACACCAGGGTGGCTGTTTCCAGCCCATCTGCTTGTCTTTTGTCCTCGATGGCTCTGCACTTCCCTTCTAGAACTGACATCCTGAATGCGTTTCTGATTCCTCTGCTAACTTGCTGTGTGACTCTGCAGTCATCTTTCTTCTCTGGGCTTTAGACTTGTCCTTCCTGCCCTGGCTTCTCTCAAGATCTGCCATGTGGATTACACAGACTCATGGGTCTGAATAAACTTTCTTTTTTTTTTCTTTTTGGAGATGGAGTTTTGCTCTGTTGCCCAGGCTGAAGTGCAGTGGTGTGATCTCAGCTCCTTGCAACCTCTGCCCCCTGGGTTCAAGAGAATCGCTTGAGGTGAGGCAGTCCCAGTGCCTCAGCCTCCCAAGTAGCTGGGATTACCATGCCCAGCTAAGTTTTGTATTTTTTTTTTTTTTTTTTTTAAGTAGAGACGGGGTTTTACCATGTCAGCCAGGCTGGTCTCGAACACCTGACCTCAAGTCATCCGCCCACCTTGGTCTCCCAAAGTGCTGAGATTACAGGCATGAGCCACAGCACCCAGCCTGAATGCACTTTCCAAAGGAGAAGAGAGCAATACAAGGGGGGCTCTCATGGTCTGGATCCCCTCACCCACCGACATCCCAACCACAAGCCACTCACTCCGGATCTGCTTCTTGATCTCCTTGGAGGGGTCCAGCCAGTTCTAAAAGAAAAGATCGAGATCTTCAGAGGGAAGATGCAGCAAAGGACCTGACAGGGCCGGGGACAGAACTATCCTGAGGTGGCCGGTCAACAGCCCCTCGTGGGGAGCACACTTCCTTGTCTAAACCTCTTGGTCATTTTTCCTTGGGACCAGGGGGTGAGGGGAATGGGGCTGGGGTTTACCACTAGGCTTGGACTCAGTGCCCTGGAGCCACCACAGCCCTGAGGCAGTTGCAGTGAGCAAGTAACGCAGCTGCAGGGAGCCTGGCAGGAAGGAGGAAACTCAGGCAGAGCTTCCCAAGGGCAGGGAAGTGGCTCTGACAGGGAGCTCCTCGCCTCCCCCAGCAACTCTAGCAGCCTAACAAGGGCTCTGCAAATGCCCATCTGGGGGTGACCTGTGCATCACCAAGAAATGGCTGAGACAGAGAACCGAGAGTCGATAGGGCTGGCTGAACCTTGGGGACATGCAAACAGAAGATGCCTAATGATCTGAGCACTAGTGGAAGCCATGGGATGTGGCCAGGATTACAGAGGCCTAACAGAAGAGGAGGCCCTGCCCCGCTCCCCAGCCCAGGTACCTTCTGGCTGTCGGCATCACAGAAGGTCAGGCCGAAGTAGTCCTTCTCCAGGAGGTTGAGGTGCTCACAGACCAGGTCAAACAGCACCTGGCCCCGGCCATGTTTCTAAGGAGGCAATCAGAGTGGCTGTGAGGCTGCAGCACACCCCGGGGTGGAGCTGGGAGATACCCTAGGCTCCACCGGGGCAACTCAGAAACCCCAAGGGCCTTCAGTGTCTGCACAGGAATGCAGCACTCCTGCCACCTACTTGGTTCCACCCTCTGAGTCCTCAGGGATCCTGGGTGTGACAACAATGCCCAGCTCCTTGATGGCCTTCTTCCAAGTTCTGGTGGGGGTTTCTAGACCTTGAGCTTTCTTGGGGAGAAGCTGGAGTGGAAGGTATGGGAAGTGACTGTTTTCTCCTTCCTTTGTAGTAGTTAAGAGAAGGAGACTAACTTAGACCCAAGGAGCAGAAAACCAAATCCTAAGCTTTAAGTGTGAGAGGAAGAGACGAAGCCCCTGGAATATGACAGAAGCAGGCAGGGGGAGAAGGGGAAGGCCTGGGACTCAGGGTCCCAGTGTGACCCTCCTTTCCCGGGTCCCTCCCCTTCACTGAGTGGAATCCAGGGCAGCCGAGGCTAGTCCACCACTCCCTTCCCCACAGCCAGTGAGGTTTCACAGAGGCTCATGGGGCCTCCCTCAGCTTCTGCTGGAAGGAGCATTGATAGAGCAGGGTAGGTTCCTCCCACTCCTGTATAGCTAGGCTTGGGGGTCTCTGAACCACCATTCAGAATGACGAAGCCCAGAACCCAGCTGGGCACTCCAAACCCACAGGGGTGAAGATGATCACCAATAAGGGAATCACAGGGCAGGGGAACAGGAGGCAGTCACCACCCAAAGAGGCAGGGACTCTAGAGAGGGAGTGAGGCCCCTGTAAAGTCTGGCTGGGCCCTCGGGACCAAGTCTGACCAGGAATTCCTGCACCTGGAGATCATCAGAGAAAGAGGACCTGGCCTTAGCCAAACCCTTTATGTACTTCTAGGGCAGGCAGAAATGGCATCCTGGGGCCCATCAAGGTAGGAGAGAGGACATAGAAGACAGCCCTTTCTTTTGTCCCAGGAGCAGGGAAAGTGAAATCTTTCTATGGAAAAAATACATACACAGCTAGGTGCAGTAGCTCACGCCTGTAATCCCAGCACTTTGGGAGACCAAGGCAGGCGGATCACTTAAGGCCAGGAGTTCAAGATCAGCCTGGGCAACACGGCAAAACCCCGTCTCTACTAAAAATACAAAAATTAGCCAGGCATGGTGACGGGCGCCTGTAATCCCAGCTATTCAGGAGGCTGAGGCAGGAAAACCGCTTGAATCTGAGTAGTGAAGGCTGCAGTGAGCTGAGACAGTGCCACTGTACTCCAGCCTGGGCAACAGAGCAAGACTCTGTCTCAAAAAAGAAAGAAAGAAAGAAAAAAGAATCAAAAAAAAAAAAAAAAAAAATCCCTGTAGAGAAGAGGGACTCAGCCTTCCAGGGCTCAGGAGTAAGTCACATCCCTAAAACCTGGGCATGGGGGAGAAAAGGAGGTGGCTTCTGTAAATCTCAGTTGCAAGGACACCCTCTGAGCCCTTTTACACATGCAGAGAAAAGCCAGAGATGCTGTCTTGGCAGGGGTAGAGCCTCTAACTCACAGAGGGGGCAATCGAGACCTCAGAATTAGGGTGAGAGTCAGAACCTATACAGGAAAAGGAGACCTAAACATGGGGCCTGGAGGGCCAACCCCAGAAGGAGGCATCTGCTGTGTTACCACCATGGGGCAGGGCCATCCCACAGGGTTTCTACACAGCCCAGGTGACATCCTCCCAGTGGGCTGCCTCCCTATGACCAGGTGACGGGCTTCCCATAGAACCCTCAGGTGACTAGTTTGTCCTGGAGACTTGAGATGGTGCCCTGGACAGGTATATTCACTAGGAAGGGAGAACCCCTCCTCCACCCAGTATAGAAAAATGATTCTAGCTCTTCCGGTCTTTCTGGTCCCAGTTGCAGAAGCAGGATGACGAAGGGAACATCATTGTTTGGGAAGCGTCGTAATAAGACACACACGTTGTGCCGCCGTTGTGGCTCTAAGGCCTACCACCTTCAGAAGTTGACCTGCGGCAAATGTGGCTACCCTGCCAAGCGCAAGAGAAAGTATAACTGGGGTGCCAAGGCTAAAAGACGAAATACCACCACGACTGGTCGAATGAGGTACCTAAAAAATTGTATACCGCAGATTCAGGCACGGATTCCATGAAGGAACAACACCTAAACCCAAAAAGGCAGCTGTTGCAGCATCTAGTTCATCTTAAGAATTTCACCAATTAGTCATGCAATAAATGTTCTGGTTTAAAATACAAAAAAAAAAATGATTCTAATGGAAATCACTCCCCTGGGTGAATAGGAGGGCCCAGCTCCTAGGTCTACTGGGATGTAGATCAGCCCTTACATGCTGGCATCCTTGCCAAGGTACAGTCACCCTGCAGAATCTTCCCCTGGTGCCAGCCCTGTGCCTCGTCTAATTCTATTTGCAATCATACACTCTCTTCAGGCTTTGGTGCCACCATCTGTACAAAGGAGCTCTGAGCCAGGTCATCTCTCTGGACACTGCACCCGGTCCAGGACTCCTCTGGTTTGGCCCAGGTTGGGTAAACACAGGAGCCTGTCCTGGACCTGACACCAGCCAACTGCGGACAGGACATATGGTGTGGAGCGCTCCCCTACCTCCACCTCACACTCATACTCTGAGGCATCAAGCAGAGTGACCCGGCAGACGGCACTCTTGTATTTCTTGGCAATCTTTTGAGGTGACTTCTGGGCCTTGCTGGGCGTGGTTCTCTCCGACAGGCCGTCGGCCTCACTGTAGTCCTTCTCCTCCATGTCTAGGTTCTGCAGGACCAAGCAAGGGAAGAGTTTGCCCAGTGAGTTTTAAGCCATGGCCTTTCATATAAATAAGAAGCAATATGGAGGCAGCTGGGGCCAAGACAGACCCCTGAATGAGAGTTACTGTTCTCTGAGACCCACAGGGAAACCGGGACCTATGGCTGGTGTACACAGGACGAGAGCCAGAGCTGCCATGCGGTGAGGGGTCCCCGTATTCCCTGCAGGCTACTGCTGCCATAGGCATCCTCTGAGGCAGGAGCATCCTGTGAAACCAAAGCCGGTGGCCAGAGCTGCCCTGTCTCCCTCCTAGAGCAGCGTGCGAGTCATCACAGCATCCATCTGGTCTCCTCCTTTATGTTCATCACTGGATCTAGCAGGAGGCTGGGAGCTGTGCAATGAGCTGAAGGAGAGAAGGAAGGCCAGGGACCTGCCCCCCAATCCTAACTCCACCGCCGACTCCCTTGGTGATCTTGGCCTATTCCCTGCCCTCTCCAGGCATGTCATGAATGAAGGAAGGTGTGAATTACATGATGAGGCGAGTCCCTTGTAGCTGTAGGGCAATGGATTTTGCTCTGGGGTCACATGGGGCTGGCCAGACTAGAACAGACAGATTCGGGGGTAGGAAAAGAAATGGAAAGAACTCAGGCTTCAAAATCAGATCTAGATTTTGACTTCACCTCTGTCACTTTATGGCAATGTGACTTTGGGTAACTCACTTTATCCTGCTGGTGCTCAGTTTCCCCAAGGGTAAAATGGGGTAGTTACTCTTTAGTTTGAGAAAATAAAAATTTTAAATGACCACAATGGGCTAAGTGTGGTGGCTCACACCTGTAATCCCAGTACCTTGGGAGGCCAAGGCAGGAGGATCACTTGAGCCCAGGAGTTTGAGACCAGCCTGGGCAGCATAGCAAGACCTTCTATCTACTGAAGAACCTTGTTTCTACTGAAAGTTAAAAAAAAAAAAAAAAGATGGCCGGACATGGAGGCTCACGCCTGTAATCCCAGCACTTTGGGAGGCCGAGGCGGGTGAATCACCTGAGTTCAGGAGTTTAAGACCAGCCTGGTCAATATGGTGAAACTCTGTCTCTAATAAAAATGCAAAAATTAGCCAGACACGGGGGTACACGCCTATAATCCCAGCTACTAAGGAGGCTGAAGCAGGAGAATGGCTTGAACCTGGGCAGTGGAGGGTGCAGTGAGCCGAGATGGCACCACTGCGCTCCAGCCTGGGTGACAGAGCGAGACTCCAACTCAAAAGCTGATTAAATAAATAAAGTTAAAAAAAAATCAGCCAGGTGTGGTGGTGCACGCCTGTAGTCCCTGTTACTCAGGAGGCTGAGGCACAAGGATTGCTTGAGCCTGGGAGACTAAGGCTGCACTACAGCCTGGGCAACACAGTGGGACCTGTCTCAAGAAAGAAAATAAAATGACTACGATGCTCCCAGCACAGTGCTCAGCATGTAACGGGTCACTAATAAATCTTAGTTTCTTTCTTTCCTCCCTCCTGAAAAAATACTGGGGCCCCAAGAATTGGACCTGGAGGACAGTTTGGGCAGGAAAGGGATGTCCATGCTCTCAGGCACACACCTGTTCAGCAGGCCGCGTGTCCTGCTGGGGAAGATGCTTCTCATTGGAGTTGGCCTCTGGGTGGCCTTGGCCTGCGGGGGTCACAGGGGTGGTCGCAGCAGCGGCGGCGGCCTCAGGCTGCTGTGGGGTCTCCTCCTGAGCTTTCTTCACCTCAGAGTCGGGGCCTGTTTCTGTTGTCATGGTGACCAGCACGCCTGCATTGACATGAAGGAGAACATTGGACAGGGAGGGACAGCAATGGTGTGACAGCAAGAGGGGCAGGAACCACACGCAGAGAGACACAGATGGAGGCAAAGGGACAAAGAGTCATAGGGTGAAGGGAGGAGGGAGGGAGAGATAGAGGAAGTGGGGATAGGGGAGAGTCATGGGAGGTGAGGGGTTAGTGGCTGAGGTCACAGGCACCCTGCCACCCTGTGTCTGCAGCTCCTCAGGGACCCTAATCTCTGGCCCTTGCTAGGGATGATGAGTCCTTCCAGGGAGCTCTGCTCTGCCAGGAGTACACGGGGCAGCCAGTGACCTTGTCCAGGCTATCTCTCCAGCCACCTCACCCGGTGCTTGGTTGCCCATCAGAAAAGCTGGATGCGCAGAATTTAACCAAAAGAGCCCTGGGTTCCAGACCCTTCCAGTGTTGAATCTGGGCACACCTCTTCATGCTCTAAGCTTCAATAATTCCTGCCCTGCTAGCTTCACAGAGTGGATCCAAAAAGAGAATGACAGGAAGAAACTTAAAACAACAAAACAAAACAAAAAACAAACAAAAAAAAATGCGTGGCCCTAACGATGTAAAAGTAAAAAAAAAAACCAAAAAACAGGTTCAGGCCCCGAGTTGGCCACATCCAAAAAGTGAGCAACATAAATACTCTCTGGGATAAACTATTCTTGTCATTTTCCCCTTTTAGCAGTAAACGAGATTTCAGAGTCAAGGACCCATTGCCCAGCTATTCTGCTGGAATAAGCAAGTTATAGAGAGAGAAAGAGAAAGAGAGAGAGAATGGCATGGTCTCATTTTTCTATTTGAAAAACAAAGCAGGCCAGGCGTGGTGGTTTATGCCTGTAATCCCAGCACTTTGGAAGGCCAAAGGGCGGATCACCTGAGGTCGGGAGTTTGAGACAACCTGGCCAACATGGTGAAACCTTGTCTCTACTAAAAATACAAAAATTAGCCCAGCGTGGTGGTGCACATCTGTAATCCCAGCTACTTGGGAGGCTGAGGCAGTAGAATCACTTTAACCTGGGAGGCGGAGGTTGCAGTGAGCCAAGAGTACACCATTGCACTCCAGCCTGGGCATCAGAGCAAGGCTCCATCTCCAAAAAAAAAAAAGGAAAACGAAACAGTAAGCTCGACAATATACATTTGTGTTTGCACACATTTAGTAAAAGGTCTGAAAGGATACTCACCAAATTGTTAAGAGAGGTTGGTAAGGCAGAAGTGGGTAAAGGAAAACAAAAGAGATCCCTGGGAACAGGGTGACAAAAGAGAGAAAACTTCACTTTTCCCTTTATATGCTTTGGAACTACTTTTATCTTTTAAAATATACATATGTAGGCCAGGCGCAGTGGCTCATGCCTATACTCCCAGAACTTTGGGAGGCCGAGGCGGGCAGATCACCTGATGTCAGGAGTTTGAGACTTGCCTGGCCAACATGGTGAAACCTTGTCTCTACTAAATATACAAAAATTAGCCGGTGTGGTCACACACACCTGAAATCCCAGCTACTCAGGAGGCTGAAGGAAGAGAATCGCTTGAACCCAGGAGGCAGAGGTTGCAGTGAGTCACTGCACTCCAGCCTGGGTGACAGAGTGAGACTCCATCTCAAAATAAAATAAAAATAAATAAATAAAATACACATATGTATTTTTTTTTAACTCACAAGTTAGCTTTTTAAAAAGGTTCAGTAGGGGAGAGGGCATCAAATCCAACCATTCCTGCCCCCAATCAACAGAGAGCCTCAAAAAAAAGCTTTAAAGCTAAAACCAGGAAAATAGAGAAATGAGCAGGAACCCACCCCCTGAGTCCAGGCCCTTCCTCTACATCTATCATATTACATGAGAGAGATTCAGGCTAGACTTGGTAGGCCCTCTCCCCTGCACCATCCATTGTGGGAGGCCTCTGATCAGACAGACAGACAGACAGACAGACAGACAGACAGACAGACACAGCATCCACCCTGGGCTAGCCACGTGCTCCAGGTCCCCTGCCCCACACTTCCTTTTCATTTTTCAGTTTTTCTCCCTGCATTTCAATGGGCATCAGCCCGGCCCAAAGCCAAGAGCACTGGACAGAAAGACAGGGACTCTGAGCACCCTGAGCACCCCACTCAGCCACAGGAGAGCTCCGGGGCCCTGAACATCCTCAGTCCCCCCACACAGTGGATGACAGGGGAAAGGCTTTGTAGGCTGAGGCTTAGAGTACAAATTAGAGGGTTTGCTGGTATTGATGCTGCTATTAAGAAGAGGAGGAAGAAGGGAAGGCCTAGGTCCCCATCACCTCCTCCCCACCCAGAAATGCTTTCCACTCAAGCCACTACTCTACGCTTTATGGGTATAACTTAAAGCCATAGTTCGATAAAGGCTCTCTGTCACTTATGGGACAATGAGTGCTGACTCCAGGCCAGGATACAAAGCAATGAGAGCTGCTCCAGGGGAGCCCACAGCCTTGGAAGGATCCACATGATACCTGTGCGCCAGGCTCAGGATCTTTTCTGAGCCTGCACTTAAGGATACTGGTCATGTCAGATAAGGCCGATAGGCAAGAACCCTCAAAATAACTGCCTGCTTAAATTTGCTTACAAATTAAAATAAAGCATCCACAGATTCATCTGTGTGTTTCCTGCTGTGAGATGCAGAATCTACATAAGCCCTCGTGGGCCCAGGCAGCCAGGAGACACTTCCACTCCTCCCTTTCGGATGGCCTCGATCTGATTTCAGCTCATACTCTCGGAACTTTTCCTGAGCCTGAGGGTTCTTGAAATAGCCAGGAAAGCAACCTTAAATAAACATCCCAGTCTTCCTCTGCCTGAGTCTCCAGCAGAGCCTGCTGGCAGCAAATACCTGGCACTCCCAGAACCACAGAGGAGAGGAGCTGGCTGCCTTTTGTGGTAATTCATGCTACTCCTCTTCCTTTACAGGTGAGACCTCTTTACAGTTGAGCAAAAGAGATCTGAGTGATGGTCATTTCCTCAGACAGGTTTGCCTGGTTCCTCTACCCACTCTCCTCCCTCCCCAGCCCCTGGAAATCCCAGATCCTAACTCTAGGTCTGCTTTCTCTCCACTCTACTTGGCTAACTCAAGCAAACTGCAACAGAACCCCCAAAGGAGAAAGCACTCAGGCTCAGGCTGAACGCCAAGGATGCAGCAGGAGCCACCTCTGCATTCCATGGCCAGAGGCTAGTGAGATAAATGATAGCTCATCCACTCTAGAGAGTTAAAAAAAAAAAGTAAACAATCATGGAAAATATTTTAGTAAAAAAGCGTGATACACAACAGTTTGTACAGATAGACCCTAATTTAATGAATACACATGCACAGATAAGGAAAATTCAGCAAAGCATTAACCATAGTTATTTCTGCAAGGCAGGAAGATAGATTATTATTTTTTCTTCTTTCTGTTTAACTGTAGTTCTTGGATTTGCTACTATACTTGGAGATTTTTTGAATGGGTTTAAGTTAGAGGGCAAAAAAGAAGTGTTTCTCATGCACGTGGCTTGGTATGACAGTATGAGAAAGAGAAAAGGTCTGTTTAAACCTTTTAAAAATTTATAAATAAAAAATAGCATGCTTTTTAAAAAATTTGGATGAAATCCTAATTTCACAAATCCAAGGACAACAGCATGGTTCTCTCACTAGGCCACAGAAAGGGAGCCAAGGACCTGGCCTGGCTTCTGACATAGCCCGCCATGTGGGCATGGTTCCCTCCAGGCCCAGGTGGGAAGACTGATGGAGACTGCCGGGCAGCTAGGCCAGGCCAGGCACCTAGTGGCCCCTGGAGGGAAGCACGTGCTGCTTCTCTAGGAGCTGGCTACAATGTGGGAGGAGGATGCTCACCCAGGAAATGGCTAAACACTCCGGAAGGAGACGATCTAGATTTGTCATGTATGTTTCAGCCTCTCAGCAGAGTCTGGGGACCTGGTGATCTGGACTGTAGCCTGGAGTTCCCAAAGGATGCTTTTAGGGTGGGGAGTGAATGTGGAATTGCGTGTTGAAAAAGGGAGCCATTTAGCAGGAGATGCAGGGAAGGCATCTGAGCTGAGTCACCATGTGGGCAGATGCCCAAAGATGGGAACAAGAGGACTAGGCAGGGGACAGACAGGAGACCTTGACATTCTGGCACTTCAGAGTGAGAAGCCTATAAAGGTGAGCACCGGCCAGGCGTGGTGGCTCATGCCTGTAATCCCAGTACTTTGAGAGGCGGAGGCAGAAGGATCACGAGGTCAGGAAATCAAGACCATCCAAGCCAACATGGTGAATACAAAAAATTAGCCAGGCATGGTGATGCACACCTGTAATCCCAGCTACTCGGGAGACTGAGGCAGGGAAATCACCTGAACCCGGGCGGCAGAGGTTGCAGTGACCCTGGATCAGGCCACTGAACTCCAGCTTAGTGACAGAGGAAGATTGTCTAAAAAAAAAAAAGGAGGTGGGTGCGTAAGCACCAAACAGCCTGGAAGGAGGGACTGGTTGGAGCTTGGGAGAAGTGACAGGGCTGGGAGGGTGCAGGCAACCTTGCAAGAGTCAGGAGCATCTCTGTGCCAGACAAGGATGGGATTCCCATCACTGAGTGCTGCTGCCAGCCAGGCCCAGGGCTAGAGACTTCACACAGTCATTCCCGGACCTCTTGCAGGGAGGTAGGGTAGGCAGCCCTGTGGCTCAGTGGTTCACAGGACAGGCTTTAGAGTCAGGCGGACCCAGACCCAAAGCCTAATGCCTATGCTTGCTCACACTGTGACCTTGGACAAGTGACTTCACTTTTCCGAGCCTAAGTTGTGTCTTCTATAAAACAGAGACACTCCTCCCTCCCTCTCAGGACAGTGAAGGAGAGTTAGGAAAATAACACAGAGAAAGCAGTTAGCATGGTATGCACCCATAAAACAAGCCTGAGAGGTAGGGACTATAATTACCAGCAGTAATGGGAAGCTACAGTGAGGAGGGGCCTGAGAACGGGAGTTCAGAAGCATCCACCCACAATGAACGGAGA